CCTTTATTTCAACCCACGCTGTGATAAGGAAAAGGAAAATTTTAATATTACGAAATGCATGCCATAATGCTAAAAATTGTTTAAATATTTTACAAATGCAATGCAAGAAATACTTCCACGTTGGCATCGTCAGACAACTCTTAATATATCCGTGTCAAATTGAAAATTTTTATTTCACAGTCCGTCAGTTTAACTCGAAATTGGGCTTGATTTGTTTATTGCTGACAAATCCTTCGTTCGGTGTGTCAAATTGGTTGCACATTTACCTCAATCACACACGCAAATATGACGTTGCAAAAACAGGAAGCCAAAAGCGTTGGCCAGTGAAGCTCAAGCATGTGTGTGTGTTTGTATTTGTGTATAACTGACGAGCAGCAGGTCTGCTGGTCTACGTGTGTAAGCCGTCAGGCAGCAGGTCAACAGTGACTATGGCGTTTTAAAGCTGACGTTTACTGGCAATCATATTATATACGTACATATGTATGTACAAACACATTTGATTATCTTCAAATACCAACCTCCGACTGCGACTAAATGCAAAAACCGCCAGTTTGGAGTCACTATGTCTGTCATTCATTAAATCGGGTAATTAAAATACATATTTGTATGTATGTATGTACGTATGTATGCATGTGTGTGCGTACGAAGAAGAGTGGATGATGACAAGTAACACAATGTTGCGATGCAAAAGTCGCAACATCATCACCTGCCGACCTGATATTTACATACATACACGTACGAGTATATGCACGTAAGTATGTTTGTATGAGCGGTGTCATGATAAATGTGCGTACGCATTTGCTGTCCTCATTAACCGTTGCACATTTCAGGGCGTCTTACACAGTTGCACAGTTGAGTAAAATTTCATTATGACGTTTCACGCCGTTTAGTTTTGACGTCTACAATTACCGTTACCGTTGCTTTGAGTTGCTTAAAATCTTTTAATAAAAACTAATAAATGCATACAAACATGCTCGTAAATATTTTTTGTGCATGGGAATCTGCATTCATACGCACTTAATCGTTTTGCCACTGCGTTGCACCGTTTACCCATCGAGGGGATGAGTTAAAGGTGAACAAACGCATTCGAAAAGGGCAACAAAAATTGAACTGTATGTAAATACGTGTGTGCACATATGCTTCGCTTTGTAAACTCCCAACTCTGCTTTGTCGGTCTATCACTGAACTACAGCGAATCGTCGCTGGTTAAATGTGAAAATACTTGCTTTCGCAAACATATTGTTATATAGATAAAGGGTGTTTTTTTTTAAACGCGTTGCTTTCAATCGGACAATACTATTATTTCATTGGCGCGACGCATCACGTGCTGTATCCAACATTCGGTCGAAATAATCGCTAAGAACGACTAGTGATTTGAGCAACCATCCATTGATTCTGTATCGAAGAAGACCCGAATGGACTATTATTTGAATGTAATATGAAGTCCCTTGTTTACTCATATGAACCCGAGACGATTACACTTTTGAGGAGAATATTCAGTTGGAATTTATTCTAGACAGCCGCGGCGGTTACTTGCCTGAGATCATTTTTAAAATAAAGTGGCAAACACTTATCTTTATAATAAACCGCATATCTGAAAAGCACCCTTTATTTGCTTAAGTGTGTATTTTCCAGTTTTCGTCTGCACCTCCTTTCAATTGTTGTTTAACTGACTTTATGACACCACTTTTACTCAGGCGCATTTTCCACTCCTATTTAATGATCGCCTACTTTAATTGTCCATTTTAGCAATTTTCATTGTTCTTTATTAGCATATTTTCTTTTCCTAATTATTTTTAATGGCAATAATGGGATTTTCCGTAAACTTTTCCTTTATTTTATGCCTTGGTATGCATACGCTTGGCGGAATCACCGCTCCAGTTGGTGTTCGTACGTACATTTTGCTTATTACTTATTCTGAATATTTGTTGTAATTTTTGAACCATTGCAAGCACACTATTTGTTGTATCCACAGATACAATCCTGGCAGAGATATTAATTTCCTTAAGCAGCAACCCACTTTCGGAAAATTGTTTTAAAAAATAAATAAAACAAACAAAACTTTTACTTGACTTTCGAAACGAAGGGATAGTTGCGTGTTCCAAGTTCCAAGGGTCGGCACTGGGAGTTTTCAAAAGAAAGATTATGCCAAAGATTTATGGGTCCCCACGCACACGAATGATAAGCTCTATGAGATAAGAGCGTATGATGATATTACATAGTGCATTAAGAGGCGGCAGATACCATAGATCAAGTGAAGAAAGACTACCGGCAACTCTACTGTCTCCGATTGACGTCAAATGGCAATTGAGAAGAAAAAACTATAAAATACAATAAATGTAAATATATATAAATAAACTCAATTTATATGGCTTGCTTAATAAATGTTTTTGTGTCATATTTTCCTCTTTTCTCTTATCACCATAATTTCGGTGTAAAAATATGATTTTTGAAAAAATTATTAATAACAATTTTAAATTCCATGCATAACCTTTTACCTGTAAATATTTATTTATCAATTATTATTTAACAACATTTTTCCGTATGAAAAAGGGATGCCCGATTTTCATTACTAAAGAGTGGATGGATACGAATATAATTCAAAACAAAAAAATTAAATTATATTTGCATGCAACTTACGTTTTTTATTTGTTCAAGGGAACTTAGCAAAATAGTAAAAAACATAATTAAGTAAAAAATAAAACAAAATGAAATGAAATGTCCTTAAAAAAATAAAACCAAATTAATTAAAATAAATTAAAATAAATTAAAATAAAATAAAATAAAATAAAATAAAATAAAATAAAATAAAATAAAATAAAATAAAATAAAATAAAATAAAATAAAATAAAATAAAATTAAATTAAATTAAATAAATTACTCACACTTGCTGCTAAATACGAGTATTTATGCAACAAACAAATAGTGAATGCAATTAGTTAGTGCACGCCTATCGAAATATCAGAAGGTTAGGTATGTATGTATATATATATATACGAAACCCATAAATTCTTCTTGAGTTTTGGCATAACATAATAAGCTTCTAATAACGAAAAAGTAAATGGAATTTAGTGAACGGCGAATAGGGATTAAAGCATAATCTTAGAATTATTGGAGACATAATACATAAGCATACATACTTATGTTACATAATTCTAAAACATTTGTTTAATTTACAATTCGACCATTTTATTATTGCTTAATTAATTGCTGAAGCACATTTTAGTTTAAGGTTGTTATACCTTCAAGACATTTAACTCCAGATGTTGCCACCTTTTGTAAACATTCATATGTAGCAATAAATGCTGTATGTACGTATGTAATTTTGTAAGCATAATACACTGCAACAAATATCAAATAAAGCTGTTTGTAATGAGCGTTTTGGGGATGGATGTCAGCAACTGACAAACAAACAACATCAACAACATTAACAAAAAAAAAAAAATTGTTAGCACACGACCTCGGTTTGGCCACAAATGCCTCCAAACGATGACGACCTCGATTTTGAATTATTTTTCTCATACATATGCAGTTTCACACATACATATATACGTACATATCTATAAACTATGTGCCCGTGCTATCTCGGTTTGACGAATTCATGTAGCACACACATATGTGTGAATTTATGAGAGTAAAATATTTAAAGTTACGAGTACAATTACAAATATGCATATGGAAAATAAAAACATTAACACATACACTTGTACTTATTTGTACCTAAACACTCGAACATACATACATACATACGTGTATGCACATATATTATAAATGCCATTGCTCACATTCCATCTTAAATTGCCTGTAACCGAATTGCGAAAAACAAGGAAAAACAAGGTCAGGTAGATTAGCTGAAAAGACTTGTTAATAGTGACCAAGCACGAACTTAGACGAAAGAGAAGCAGCATAACTAAGTAAAGAGAAGACTTCACTATCTGGCCAAAACTATCCAGGATCTTAGGAATGACACAACGTCACAGATTTCTCTCGCATCAGCTATTACAGGCGAAAAGGCGAGTTCACAAACAGTCTGCATCCGTTTTTTTTCGTCGAATAAACCAAAATTAGTTTGAGTTCTTGTACTTTAACGCCCAAAACTTGAAGACTTCATTATCCGTTTTTGTAAATTTATATTTAAAAAAAAACGCTGTTTTGTGACAGTTCGTTTTACAAAGCCTCTAATACTGAGTATTGGTCGACTTAACCCAGCCACACTTAATAAATATATCATATTCAATGAAGCTCAAAATGTGAGTTGGTTTGAGAGCTAACCAGAATTTTTGAAATTTTTTTTTGAAAATACTTATGTATTCTACTTATATATTTGATGGATAGGCAGCCTAGTTTTGATATCTGATGAGTTCCTTTGTCTGGCAAGTGAATGGCAAATGAAGGATCTGTGTACTGCTAAGGAGGAGGCCGAGGAATTCTTTATAGCCGAGAGCAAAAATTATAAGAACACCTGAAAACTGCCTAAGTGCTGAAAATGCCTGCCGAGTTTTATGGAACTTATATCCAAGACATTATTGATTGCAATTTTTTTTCAATGGCCTCAAATTTTTGGAGGTGAGCTTAAGATGTATGTAGATTCTACGGCAGTATCGGTTCGATCATCAATCGCCTAACAGAAAAGAACTGATATCAGCCATTCGGGGCCATTATAGAAGAAACTGAAAGTCTATCGTGTGTAGTTGGAAAGGCATCAACCAAAAAATAGAGGAGGATCTCGGCCGAAAATCTCTTTGGCGGTTATAAAGCGCCAATTATGCATAAATACATACGTATAATGTAATTTAGAGTAATTGAAAGCAATATTGTAAAATCTTTTTTTAAGCTTAATTAAGGAAAATTAAAAAAAAAGATATAAAGCATTGCCGTTGGTCGTGAAATTGTATCTTCGAATGCCACATAAACCAACTTCATTATCTAATTTTGATTTATAAAACCCATTAAAATAAAAATATATATAAAATCGTAATTTTAGAAAAAACTAAACTTACCACATATTTTAAAACCCGTTAAATATTTGCTGGGAATTTGTATGATATTAACAAGAGCACAATTATTTGTGGTTTTTGTATGTTTTTTTTAATAAATTTTTCCAACTTTAACTTTGTGTTTGCGGCTAATAAGTGTTTTTTAATTAAAATTGCCAAAGAGTTAAAATTTTATTTTTGCACTGAAACTCAATACTATTAAATCAGTTAATTAACACTCTTTGGAGTATCTCAATTTTCGTTGTTTTGGTTTGTTTATTTTATGTTTTTTTTTTTGCAATATCGTTAAAGTGTCTTGCAAGAATTCATTTTATTATCGTTGCTCGAATTCCAAGCGCATTAGTTGTAGTCCACTTTCAAGTTTTCGGAATGTTGTTGTTGCACATTTCGTCTCTTATTGCACTTTTCGATGAGGCGCGGTGTTGAGCTGTTGTTGACCTCTTTGTTGTTTCTTTTATTGCTCGTTTTTACCACAAGCTAGCGTTTGCTGTTCGCTTCTAGGTTGTTTGGCTTTTTGGTTTCGCTACTGTTGTTGCAATCTGCTGGTGTTGAACGCGCCATTACTCGCTCGCTTTGGTGCAAACTTAATTTTCGTACACATCAACATACTTGTCCACATACATACACACGAGTACGTGCATATTCTGTGTAATTCGATGATCTTTTGCTTTTAATTATTTGCACAATATGCATTAATACATACACATACACATAGATATGTACATATGTATTTAACACATAATCAATTCAATTGTTTGTTCTCTTTTTTTGCACATAACCCAATTTCGAAATGTAAATATTTAATTATTTTTATTTTCTTTTATTATTTCCGAAAAAACAAAAAAAAAATGATAATAATTTTTTTCTACCACTTTTGTTATTGTTATTTTAATTATTTCCGCAACATAGTCAAAATATTTGTTGCAGCTAATACAGTACATGCATATGTAGTCATGCTTCCGATACGCTTCGTTTACGTTAAATTCCACCACAGCGCTTTTATTTGGCTTTAGATTGGAGTTAAATGCTTGGTATTTGAATGCTCGCCACCGGAGCGAAGAATAGACACATCAAACTTCGCTTTACCACCGTTGAGTTGTTGCTATTGTTTTTGCCTTTATCATATACCACTTCATACATACATATGTATATATGCATGTACAAACAGATTGTTTTCCGCCAACTGAATTTCCACCTGCGAATGCGTTGAAATGTAACCGTCAACTGAATGCTGAGCCAGAAAGTCGAAAGAGCCCAACTCTGGCTTGATGCAGCGCCAACTTGAGTGCGACGGGCCACGAGCGCTCTGTTGAAGCTGACTTCGTGTTACATTTGGCTGCCGGACCGGCTTCAGTGTGTTTGGCGACAAACAACAACATTACGTCGAACCAAAATGCCACCGTTGTTTGCTAACGCTGCTGAAAAAAAGTAGTAAAAGTTATTGCGATTCTCTCGGACCTTCGAGTTTCGCACAGCACTTGTTCTCTCCTCTCTCTGTCTTTTTCCACAATTGACCATTTCCCCAATCGGCTTTACTCTTTTCTCGTTCTTATGCTGGCGGAAGAATTTGTTTCAGTTAATCTTCTTCAACGCTGAGAGCATAATTTGAGGCCCTCATTGGTTGAGTCCATGTCCGGTTCGGGCTTGTTTTCCTCATTAATTTTAAAATGTATTCTTCAGCGCTGCTGAGTACTTTATGCTATGCTTGGAATTTCTATTTTTAATGTTCTTTCGGTTAGAGTTCTAAGCGCCCTTTCTATTTCGTTAAGTGCATTTAGCATTTATTGCTCCACACTCACTTAAAAACAAATATATTTTCAATATAGATGGAGAAAAGCCTACATATCTTATCTTAATTTGTTTTCGAATTCTTTCAGACTGATTTTTTAAATGCTGGGTCCCCTTACTTACTTTCACTCAGTATAATTCGCCTTCAAACAGATGTGTGTTGGCTATCCCGAGAATATTTGATCTCAAGAACTAGACTTAATATCAACAGCTTGGACATGACTTTGAAAAGAAGAGAAGAGACGACTATCGTTGATTCGGATATTACCCCCACTCTTATGAAATATTTTGAGAAAGTCTAGCTCGAACCCATAAAATGGGAGACCCAACTTATTGTCCAGGACGAGTAACTGAGTGCTGTCGCAGTATAGTTTGGAGGCAAGGGTTTAAATATGCGATGAATGCACCTCCACTGTATCAATAAATATATGTATGTATCATATGCGTACATCTCAGAGTTCAGTTCCAGTGGGATAATCTGGAAGTAGCTGAGAAATCTTTTGTTCCCCGTTTTAACTTCGTGTTCCTTTTTTCGAAGAGTATGAAACAAAATACAAAATAAAGGAATGCTTTGGGAAAGATGGGATGGACCTAGTACTTATGTTGGTTCATCGGTTGGAATTCATAAAAAAAAGTCCAATGTATGCTTTTTTTCAGCCATGCAGCACCTTGTTAGAATAAACCTCAAATATATAAATATCGATTTCTACTAACATATCTGAAATCGGTGTATCTAGTTTTTATCGATATTGAACAATCATTCCTATTTCATGTGTTTTCGTAAATGCTTTAACTGTATTTTAGAAATCTGCTACAGACAGTAAACATGAATCAGTTTGAGAAAAAAGAAGTAATCCAAGCAATACTCATAGCCGACAACAATGTGGACCAGCTGCGACCGTTTTCGGATGAGAATTCCACGGTAAATCTATACATATAAGCAATTCACGTTCAAGCAGCCACGTCTGTAACAAATTATATGCTCTTATTTGCAGGCGCTGCTGCCACTGGTAAATGTTTCCATGCTAGATTATGCCTTGGATGCCCTTAATCGTAGTGGCATCGAAGAAGTATTCGTCTATTCAAGTCTTCACTTGCGCAGTGTTCGTGAGCATATAAAGTAATGTTTACATATATTTTATGATTCCTGCAGTATGTACTACCTAAATCATATAAAAAATTTCTTATTTAGAAATGGCATTGCATCACTCAATTCGTGGTCGGTGAATATGACGGTGCACGTGATTGGTGGAGAAGGTTGTCGGTGTTTCGGAGATGCCATGCGAGACTTGGACGCTAAAGCTCTTATACGAGGAAATTTTATATTACTTGGCGCAGATGTAGTCACAAACGCTGATTTGCGTCCAATATTTGAGCAACACAAGTAAGTTTTAGATAAACATATAAATATATATTGAAATTTTACTTCATCTTCGTAATTACGTCGATTTTAGGAAAACTGCAAAATATGACAAAGGCGCTGCCGCTACGTTGGTTTTCAAAGAAGCTGCAACAAGTAGCATACGCACTGGTAATGAGGTTATGATTGCTGTTGACCAACAAAATAACCGCCTACACCATCATCAGCGTCTGCGTCTACACGGCAAAGAGTCACATTTTGAGGTGCCATTAGAAGTGTTTCTCAATAACTCCGAAGTGGCGCTCTTACACAATTTAATAGATCCTCAAATAGCCATCGGTTCGCCATCTATGCTCTCGCTATTCAGTGACAATTTTGATTTCGAAACACGCGATGATTTTGTGCGCGGCATACTCATTAATGAAGAAATCCTCGACAGCCGCATATATGTATCAGTCTTGCCCCGTGGACAATATGCACGCAAAGTAAATAATTGGCTCACATACTGCATGGTTAGTCAGGATGTAATGAATCGCTGGGCGTATCCATTGGTGCCGGACATGGGCATAAACTGTCTAGCGCAGCAATATGTTTATTTGAAAAACAATATTTATAAAAGCCGAAAGTCTACATTTATAAAAGCGGCACTGCGGGAAAATGTTGCAGTACAAGCGGGTAGTCAAGTAGAAGCAGGTACTTCCGTCAGTTGCAGCGTCATCGGGAAGAACTGTAAAGTGGGTAAAAATTGTGTGCTCATGAATGCTTTCCTAATGGATGGCGTGCATATTGGGGATGATTGCAAGCTTGATTGTTGCGTGGTAGGCTTTGGTTCTAAAATTGGTGCTGGATCTACTATTGCTGAAGGCACAGTAGTGGGCTCAAAGTGTGCTATACCCGCTGGAAAGCTACTCAAAAATGTTGTTATAAAGTCTGTCTTAGGAGATGATGGTAAGAGGTTATTTCTTTGATTTTCTCTTTTCTATACTTGTATTGATATACTTCCTCCTTTTGTTTCGTTAGATGACTTGGTGGAAAAGCTTGGCGAACATGCTTTTATTATAGATGACAAACAGGAAACTCAATCTACATACGCGTCCGACTCGGAAGACGAAGTGTTGCCCACCGCAGCCACTGGTATACCAAAGGTGGCTAGGGTACCCACCATCTGTGAAGAGAGCGACTACACATCCAGCAGCGACGAGGATGAGTCACGTGCCGTCTCACCGCTAGTCGACGATACAAATAGTAAACGTTTTCGTTTTCTTAAATTTCTACTTAAACTAATCCTACCTCTTGCTCTTGCTATTGCTATCCATATTGCTTTGCTACAGTCTTTTTGGCGGAAGTAATGGATTCACTGGCGCGTGGCTTCCAGGAAAAGTCAAATCCAGACTTTCTTATACTAGAAATAAACTCCTCCCGTTACGCCTATAATATGTCTCTAAAAGAGGTGAATTTCTACGTGGTGAAAGCACTATTCAGTCTTCAAGATATTAAAGAACCCGCAAATCAAAATGTGCTCGTGGCAATCAACAATGTGCTGAAACAATTGGGACCTGTTCTGTCTAATTATATTAAGACTCCAGATGCTATGTTACAATGTCTGCGCGCATTAGAAGTAAGCTATTTTTCATTAAAAAATAAAATGTTTTTCAATTCTCCATGAACTTTTTCTTTGCTCAGGACATCTATGAAGAAAACGAATTTGTGCGCAGTAAAATTTCAAAAGTTGTACACTACTTATATGATAAAGATTTTGTAAGCGAAGATGCCATCATAGCTTGGTATGAGCAACTCGACGTTGAAGACCATCGTGCTCTGCGTCAGAGTTTGAAAGAGCTCATCGAATGGCTCGACCAATCCAGTGAAGAGGATGAGGACGACGATGAAGACGAAAGTGACTAAAGAATACTACTTTTGGATTGCTATAGAATTTACGTTTATTTTAATTATAAATAAAAAGAATTCAACACACGTTAAAGAACTGACAAAAAAAAGTCTAATATTAAATTAATGAACTAAACGAAATTAAAATCATCATCTATATTTTACACATTAGTATTTGTTAGAATAACAAACACAAATCAAATTAATTCATTACTAGTTAATTCAAGTTTTCAATCTTTTCGAACGCCCATTCCACAAAATTCAATTTCCATTTTTTTAAATCCAAATATTTATCTATCAAGCGGTCCACCACCAGTAGATATGGCTGAGTTTGACATCATAACATTGCTGTTGGCGGTCAGCATACGCACGTGATGCAAGTGTATTTGCACATTCTTCTGAAACGTTTCCACATTTACGCCGCTCAAACTTGAACGCACCTCTTCGATGCAGCCCTCAAGTACTTTCGAGACCTCCGCCGCATTGCCATCATTGCCCAGATGTGAGGCGACTAGTAGCACCGTGGCAAGATTTTTAATGAGCGCCAGAACGCTCTTATTCTGCACTGTGCTTTGATTGATGGTCTGAACAGCGTCTTCGGCTGTCTCACGGCACTTTTCCCTCAGGTAGGATGGCGCCAGCATCGCTTGCACTTGTGGGTCACGTGTAAGGTCCCCTGCGAATGCCTGCACATCGTTCAAATAGTCCTGCATATCGCGATTCATCTTCTCCATTGATATTACAATTGAAGCGTAGCGTCTTTGGAATTCCTCACTTAATTGCGGAACCGCCTCATTGGTGTTTTGTGACTCATCGGATGATGAATTTGAATTACTATGTGCAGCGGCGAGTTGCTGCGAAGCTTTCAGCTCGGCCTCGTTGTTCATTTCGCTGAGTCGTTGAAGTTTAGAACGCTTTGAGGCCAGCGCACGTTTCAAGCGTACCAATGTTTCCAACAGCTTGGCCGGATAGCCGTTGATGTTGTCACGGCCCAGCACCGCATCTTTGAACGGGCTCTCATTCACTTGAGCTAAGACCGGATCACTTTTATTCAGATTCATGTTCAATGCTGTACGTACACTGCGTACGTTACGTAACGGCGAAGAGCTGACGCCGTTAAAGATGCTCATCAAATTCGGTCTGTTGTCTCTGGTGATGCTCTGCAGTGGCACCATTTCATGAAAGTTCTCTGAAACGATCTCAAAGTCGGGTATAGAGTGTGTGCCTAGGCCGTTCCGATCGAAGGTGATGCGATATGTGGAGGTCATTGAATCGAAGGCGTCCACAGTGCCACTGAAAATACCATCCTGTGGCACGCGTAACCTTGCGGTGACTTTTGTGCCGATTGGCAATGATAGCGGTATCTTTTCGGGCAAATCACGCACGTAATTCAAATCCTTAATGTCTCCCGATTTACGGCTCTGTATGTAGCGTATCTTTTGGCGTCGACGTTCAAGTTCACGTCGTTCCTCCTCGAAGAAGGCTTGAGAGCAGCGACGTGGCTTGCCCATTAGAGAACGCACTTTACGCCACTCGGCGCGTGTCAAATGACGTGTGTTAAGGTTGGGAAACGATTCGGTTAAACAGACTTGGAAGTCATTCTCACCCTCGAAAAGTGCCTTGTCGATAAAGGAATAGAACCACTCGAATATGACCCAGCGATGCGCTTTTGGTAGTTTCAACAAATTCCGTAATCGTAGGCCGATGCTCTGACCAATCTTTTTATCAGCTGGAATAATGTGTGCTACTGTAGCGGCACTACTGGTTGACGCTATCGGCATGCCGCTTAGGCGTGTGCTTGATTTGGGTGTGTTGCTGATTGATGAATTCGAGGCGCTTGTATGTCTTTCGCGAGTAGTTGGTGTGGTCACTTCAGTTGCCTTTTTCTTCTCTTCCGAACGCATGTAACGTGAGACCACTCCTTTGCGTTTCTTTAAGACCTTCGTGGGTGTTTTATGTGGCGATGCAACCGCCTTTATTGGCATTTTGCGGGGTGAGAGACTCATGCGCAACGGTTTGTCATCGTTAATGATGTCGTCGTCGAAGAAGAGACGATTTGGTTTGCGTATGCGAGCTGGCATACCACGGGCATTCAACATTTGTATGGGCTGCTGTGGCTGTGGCTTTGGCGGTGGGGCAGAGCCGACGCGACGTAGTCCTAATGTGGCCAAACTGAATGCCGGCGGCTCGATGTACTCATCATCGGAGATTGTGGGACTCGTAGCTTTACGAGACTTCTTCGACATCGTTTCTGACTCATCCGACATTTCGAAGTCTAAGTTATCGACCAAAAGGATGTTTTCTGAAAAGGAAAAGAAATTGTTTTGAAGCTATTTATTCATTGGAAAGATCAAACACGACACTATTAGCTAGCTATTTGAGGTATTGTGCCGATCCTGGGGGGAAAAATTGATATCGGATAATTTATTTTCAATGAAGCCCAGAAGCAGAAGCAGAAAAGGAGTATATTTTGTTACGAGGGAGCAATTTGCACAGAAAACGTATGTAGCCAACAGTCGAGTGGCTAACGAAACGTACCGCCTTTCGAAATGCAATGCCTGGTTGTTTTTCTAATTGCGATCGCATGCCGATTGAAGCAGTGGAGGATGTCGAATGTTCTTGCATTAACTTTGGCTTATTAACATCCGGAATTTTAACGTTCTCGACTTAAGCTTTCAGATCAAGTCGGCACTCCTTCGTCCAGCAAGTGAAAGGGCGTCTAGGCGTCAACATCGAGCAGTCATCAGTATATAGGATCGAGATGAAAAAATTACACAAAAGCGAGGAGAGAACACCACATTACGGCCCGTTTAATATTCTTAATGAGAGGGGAAGCTTCAATGGAGCCACTCCGACTTATTCGGTTTAAGGGTCTGCTGAAGTCCAACTGCAGCGTCTGTTCACCAGATAAATGTGTAAAAAAACCAAGTCTTACTCGTCTAGCGAGTGCGATGGGTTTGAGACCCGCCACGTAGACAGCAGCTCTAACGAAAAATTTTGCAACGCCTCGGATGAGATACCCTCTTTCTGTTGACGACCCCCGCAAACAATTTAAGGATCACGATTTGAGGGCATGCACCTGGAATGTCCGGTCCCTTAATTGGGAAGGTGCAGCTGACCACCTGGTTGCTGTCCCCGTAAAATGGAAGTGAATACTCCAGCTTTGATGGATGCGAATACTCCAGTTTTGAAATGGATGCGAATGCTCCAAATAAATTGAAAGTTTTCGATGCAGTACCGACCGGTGGAAGCAGAGGAAAAGGAAGACCTCCACTCCGTTGGAAAGACCAGATAGAGAAGGACCTGGATGTACTTGGTATTTCCAATTGGCGCCAAGCAAAAGAAGAAACGAATGGCGCAATGTTGTTGAATCGGCTAAAATCGCGTAAGCGGGGTCTACGCCAGTAAAGTAAGTAAGTATACGGAAGCCGCGTTGACGAGCTGCTGAACTCAAACTTTGTGTCAAAGGAGGAGGCAGTAAGACGACAAGTGTGTTCGTGACTGGTGCTAGCAGACTATAACTTTTCTAGGGGGTGGTTCCCAGGTTTTAGTATGGAAAAGTGCTATTCTATAAGTCAGATAGAGAGGGGGCAGAGGCGTATTTGAGAGCATGTGAGGTAGTTTGCTCGGGCTGCACCCAGACGACTGAACAGCATGCTTATTTCATCAGTGTTTTTAACCACCCCGATAGCCCTCTAAACCTCTTTTCTGTTGAAATCAAGCGTCATTTGCAGCTTACACAGACGGTATTTGTTATTTGTTGTTTAGCTTTATCCATAACTAATAAAGTAAGTTTGCAAACCGTGCAAATTTATTGCCAAAATAATGGTTCGGTTCGAGCAACCATGGATCGGTTTCGCATCAAGTTTACTCTAGTGGAAGAAAACCCGAGTGAGTCCATTCACTATCCACTTTATAGGATAATTTACGGAGGGAACTAGATTGGGAAGTATGGACAGATTTTATTTGTGGGCTTACAAAATCCTACTCGGGCAAGAATTAAAGCCGAACTACCATACATGGCGTCGCACGTTCAATGAATTAGTCGTAAACAAGATGGCCATCGATCCTGAGCACAAGAAAGTTTTGTTCAGCGGTGAACTTTAACTTTTTGGTTGAATGGAGAGATGATAATCACAAGTTTGGTGCGTTGAATGGGTAAAGGGAATCACTGTTCGGACATAATGTTACATGAATGGGAAACGCTGTAGAGCCATGATTAATGACGATGTGAACGATCATTGGTTACACGGCACTACATGCCATGCAGCCAACGAAACAATAAATTTGTTGAATGAAACTTTTTGTGAGCGCATTACCCTGCGTCATGGGCCTGTGGCACTGAACTTTTTTTTGTGGGGTTATGAGAAGTCGCTTGCCTACGCAGATAAGCTCGAGATCATTGATACCGGTGCATTATTTCCAACGTAGTGCAAAAAGTGATCAAAATTCGTTTCTTTCACTCAAACTCTTATCTTATATACAAAAATCTTATGTTCGCCTGGAAAAATTCAGTTTTTCCACAAATCTCCAAAAGTTAACAAGCGAATAGCTTGAAATTTCGTCAGATTATATCTATGATTCCTGAGATGGTTTTGTTTCCAATAAAAAATTCGGGAAGTGGACGGGGAACTGTCCTATTATAAAAAAAACTCCGTTTGTAACGGGTGTTCTCCAAAAGTTAAAGGCCGATTGATTTGAAATTTCGTCAGATTGCTACTATGATACCTGGGAAGGGTTTTACGAAATTTTCGGGAAATGGACCAGGGACTGACCTATTCGAAAAAATCTCATTTATGATTCGATTTACTTGAAATTCGGTACATAGGTGGCTTTTTGCTTAGATTAACAGGAAGACTGTGGTCTCTTCTCTGCGTGAAGTAAACCAATGCCAATGATAAAACCAAACATTTTGTATTCCCCAAGTATTGAGTAAATAAAGTCATAATAAAAAAATATTATTAATTTTTCATACATTTGAGTATGAGTATGAGTATGTGCGATAGCAGAGCGCTGCAGGGCACAGCTAGTTTTCATAATAAAAACTAAATTCTTGACCATAGCATGATAATATTTGCGTTTCGTTTCTATTGTACTTGAACACCACATTCCTCAAAAAACAAGCAACCTTTACTTAGATATCCGATATGTGCATTAATTTTTGACGCTATCAGATCCAAAAAATTCCACATTTCGCCTAGCACTCTCCATTGAAGAGTTTCACATCAAAAAAAAATAAATGATTAAGGGCAAGTTTCTCAAAATATTAATAAAAGTAATAAGAAACTCAGGGAGATCCGTTTTTTTTCGGTATAATTAATTAATACTTTTATTGAGGGACATTTAAAAGTAAGCACAATACAATTTCATTAAATTTAATTTAATTTCATTAATACATAGTTTTCTCCTTTATAATTTTTTTTCTCGATAGTATGTAATAAGTAAGGTAAATTTCAAATGTGAACCATGGAGGAGGCAATCGCTTTTGGATATATACAATCGGCTGTTTATACGACGCCTAAATGTCTCCAACGAATTCACATATATTTGGGGGGGGGGGGGATTTGGGGAAAACAGGATACTTTCCATTAAAACATTAATTTAAGTTTATATATGTATATATATAAATATAAGTATGCATACGTATGCACAAATATAATTAATTGCTTCAATTGCAAGTGTAGTAGTGTTACATACAGTGTTTATTGTTTTAGTTGCTAAAGATTTCTTGTTTTTCGTTTATCGTTTTTTTATCTTCTTAATTTCCAACACATAAAATTCCTCACAGATACTATATGCCAGTATATGTATGTATACGTGTAGTATATTCCCTTAATTTTCGCAAAATTAACACAGTAAAACATTTGGGAAATAAATTTTACAAAAGAGCAAAATAAATTTCATTACTATGCATGTATGTTTATATGTATGTATGTTTGTAAATATAATATAACAGTTTTAACAAATATTAATAACAGCATTTACATATTTTTTGTTTCATGTTTCCTTTTAACTAGTATCGTTTTGCTTTGTTTCCTTCATTTCATTTCATTTATGTATGTTTGTAGGTAGGTATGTAGTTTAGATTATTTCATTTTATAATAATCATAATTGATAGTTAATTTTCCTTTAAATACATTTCGCATTTGCACTTGCTGCAGTTTTCGTAAATTTTATAGTTTTCTTTTTCATATTTATAATATTTTCCTCTATGTAGTACGGCAATGCAACCAACATATGTATGTTTATTTATGTGTGTGTTTGTATGGATGTGTACATAATGCAAATGTGCGTACCGCCATTAGCTTTCTACTATGAATACATCGATTTATGTTTGGATTCTCCGCCAACTACAAATGCAACACAAACGCCATACACCCTCCTGCTCCAATTTCTACTCCTCCACCAACACCTCGTACGGGCGAACAGTGTTTTTCAAAGGGAAATTTGCGCAGTTGCTCTCAACAGCGTTGAATGCCAATTCTTCAGACGTGTATTTGGTAAAAAATAAGATAAACATTTATAAAAGCAATTTTCTTTAGTCCACAGTTCGATTCTTAAAATAGGAAAAAAAAAAAACGAAATCAAAAAAACAAAACGTTGATAAATGTTTTTCAGAATCTCTTTTTTCCAAACTTTTACTAACTGCGTTAGGATTTCATTAAATCCCAATGACTAACTGTGATTATATTGAAAACTGTTAGAACACTTTTGAAGCGCTTACCGTTTTGCTTTCAGCAATTTTAGGAACCGTTAAGCGCATTAAGTTAAACTTTGCCGTACACTTAAAACGAAAACAAAATAAATAGATATTGGAAAAATGCACACCGATAATAAAATACTGTTTCTATTCTCCTGCCCGTCCCACACCACAACTGTTCGCCCGCCTGTCCAGCCGTCACAATAGCTATATGCACAATAGAAGCGCCTAAAAATCCCTAAATGTTAACTGCCTAGATGCTAGTACAGCTTGAACTGCAACGCTGTCGTCCGTATAGTTTCCAGCCCCTCCCTGTCTCTGGTGCACAGTCTACACGTTGAAGCGCGTCTCTGAACCATCGGCCAGCATTAGCGTAACGGTGCGATTGTTGATCCACACCAGCTTGGCTAGCCGCATCGGATTGAGTCGCGACACATCGGGTATGGGCGCTGTTGAGTAGCCTTTGGTGCAACGTGTTTGGGAATTGCCCAGGCCGAACATGCCGGTACTCGTTTGCCAGAAGGACAGCCTGTTTTCGCTGCACGAATAGGAAACGAGGAATTTGCCGTCCGGCGAGAAGGCCAACGATGTTATGGGGTGTGTGTGCGCCGGTATCATTTGACATTTATTTTGGCGCAATTCGTAGATTGCCAAATGACCGTTGTGCGCGCCAACGGCGATTCGTCGGGATTGCGCACAATGTGATATCTGATTGAATTTGCATATTGAGGGGCACACCTCGGCTAAGCCGCGTGCTTTCAGTTCATTATTGTCGACACAGTGTAATGTGATGTCCATCACCTCTACCAGCAGACTGGCGATTTCCGCTTGCATTTTATCTATGAGCATCTCAACGCACAATAGAATTTCCGCTTTGGCCTTGAAGAGCACCGATTGCGTGAGTGGTTGGTTAATGGACTGCGCGTTCTGCTGCATGGTGTTGTAACGCGCCACCTCACGTGCCATGGTTGTGATGAAGGCGGCGGGCCTTGCAGTCGCGATAAGTCGTAACGCATGTCGCGCGGTACGACAAGCGTCTGCTTGTGGTGTGAGCGGTAGTTTGTAGTTTAGATTGGGCACCGATTTGCCGGCGCAAGCGATTTCCAATAAACCGAGTAACACCTTGCTCACGTCCAAATATGGCTCCCAGACGGTAAAGCCGCGGCCGAGTAAATCGATTGCAGCGCGCCTTAGTGGCGTATACTTTGGTAATTTTTGAGAGGGCGGTGCGTAGAGCAAATGCGCCAATGCCATCGATGTTAAGCGCGCCAAGTTATTGGCTATCCCGAAACCTTCCGCTACTGATGACTTTCGTCTTTCTGTCGTAGGGCGCTGTGGTGAATCCTGTGAGATGTCCTGCCCGAATTCTGCGCCGATTACGCCCAAGAGAATGACTGCCGTCGTCTGCTTGCGTTTCAACTCAGACAAACTGGATGGCTTGCGTATAATTTCCTCCTCCTCTTCCTCGTAGTCCTCTTCTTGATTGTCGCCTGCAATGCTATGACCATTTGTACCGTTACCAGCACTGCCTTGTGCCGCCGCTAGCACCTGGGGCTGTACGATAGGTTCGGTGTGCGTGTAGAGCGGCAAATACTGTGCCCAACTATCGACTAGTTGTTTACGACCCTTCTTGCCCATGCGCGTCAATTCGCCGAGCAGAATCTGTTGTGCAGCCTCGCGTATTTCAATACAATGGTGCTGCCAGCGTTTGGCCATGGCCTCCACTTGTGGACGTTTGAATTTACGCGGCTCCAAAGCCTCGATCTTGTCGGGTAGAAGGAAGCAATGGTGAGTAGAGAGTAAGCTCCAGCCTTGTTTGATTTGCGATGTATGGTGTGCCAAAAGCTCCTCACGTTCCTCTTCGTTGCTAAGCGTTGATTCGGTGCGTTGGGCCAGCCGCTGCAGTTTCTTACTCTTTTCGCTGTCGGGTAGGAAGGATGCGGCGCTCATTGACATCAACGTATTCGACATGGCCACAAGCGCTAGTATGTGGTTCGATGTCAACGTCGTGCTCAATTCCCAATGCAAACGTGATGTAAACACAGCAGTTAACTGTTCTTGACGTAGTAATTCGGGCGGTATGTCGCGCTTCTTCGAGCTGCTGGGTGTGGGTGGTATATTGTCCGGTATTTGGTAATTGTTTTGCCAAGTGGGCAAGAGTAATGACATGTATCCCGCCTTGGAGAGTACGCCAAATGAGACTGGTACGATTGGACGTAGAAGGCCCAGTTGTGACTCGCACACCTTGTCCAAATGAGGATCTAGACCCCATGAATGTAGCAGTGATAGTAGGAGCTGTCCCACCTCCATCACATGAGTCACCTCCATCTTCGATGCAATTTTGCTACGCAAATCATCTGGCTGTTCCTGGGTCTCCACGACTTTCTGAAAACTTTCCACCTTCGCTTGCACCTTTTTCTCCATTTGCTCAGTTTTCTCTTTGAATTTCTGCACTAAGCCATGCTTATCCTTGTCCTTCAACATCTTCTCCATATCGCCAGCTTTGTTTTTCACCTTGCCAAAAAAGTCGCTAATCTTTTTCGATGCATCCAAATGCACCGCCTTATCTTTCGGGTTATTCAACAGCACGCCAAGCGCTTCCAAGGCAGCAGGGGTCATTTGGGCGTATTCTTCGCTGTGCAATTCGAATATTAGTCCTTCTATGTCAAAGAATAATATATGACTTTCAGCATCTTTGGGATTGGTGCGTAGCCCTTGAATCACTAGCGGATTACTGCGATGCTTCATTAAGAAATCAAAGTTGCCTTGATTGTGACCTTGCAGTTGTTGCAGCTGATGTATTCCGCGTTGAGTAGCATGCCTTATGGCGTTCATGTTTCTTGATTTGATGCCACGGAAAAAGTGTACCGCCGGATTAGCCATTCCCATTTCTGAAGTGGCCGCAGCTGAACCGCTGTGTCCGCCATTAGTATCATCTGCAGATTGCTCATCGCATGCTAGAAGCACTTCTTCTGCCAGCATACCATGTAGTACTCGATCCAAGTGACCTGTTTCCATTTGCCACACATATACAGAGCCGTCCGAGCAGCCAACTATGAGAAAATCGTCCAGTGGACGCCATTTAATGGAAATTACCGGAAAAAGATGACGACTCGCAAGCGTGACACATTTGCGCTCCTGCAAGCTCAACAGTGTGACCGAATGGTCCGAAGCGACAGAACAGATACACTTCAGTATACGGTTACTACAAGTCTCCGGCGGCACCAACAACTGCGTTATCTCACCGGCGTGCACACAAAAGCGATGTAACATACTACCGCTATACAAGTCCCACAAACAAACAGCAAAATCGACACCGCCCGACAGTAAGTGTGACTTCTCGTAGCGTGGATGTACCAATGATGGGCATAGCAGACAGTTGACGCGTCCGCGATGACCGTAGAGGATTTGGTGTGAAGGCCAATCACTGAAGTTCTGCTTGATGCCGATCAACAGCTGCATCATTACCGTTTGGGTGGCCGGAACAATGACTATGGTGCCGTCTTCACGTCCAATTACTAACCGACTTTGTTGTGGTAAGTATATGCTCGAGGTGAGTTTCACTGGAGTATCAGTGATACGCGATAATTGATCTAGTATTCCAACGGGTGGTGGATCCATGATCGACCAGGCCTCTACTAACGATGTACAGACAGTGGGCTTAAGCACTCTAGCTGGCATTTGTTTTGCTTGCAATATACTAATATTATCCAATGGCACCTCTGGCACCGTCCATACTGAAATATACCCTTCAGAATCGCCACGCAGCAAATAGTGTTGCACCTTGCTCTCTTCACGTTGATACCGTAACAATTTCATTGCGGGTGGACATGACAGCACCTTGTCGCCCGGTTGCTGTAACACATAGTATAAATAGGGTGCATCACGCACCACAGATTTGGCATGGAACTCTTTGTTGTCGGGAATACAATTGGCAGGCAACTTATAAATATAGCCTTTGCCTTCGTCGGTCCACAAGATGACACGATCTGAAGTGATGAAATCGCCACCTTGCCAACGTTCACGTGTTGGAGCAATTACTGAGCACAATACGGTGAAATCTCCTGCGTCATAGATCTGCCAGTACTTCGTGCAGACAATAAGTACTGTGCGCTGGTTTTGTGCACAACAATTCATTGTTATGGCGTTCAGACAACGTATTTCCTTCGACTCATTCTCGTAGATGGGTTCGGCATGTTTATTCTCATTGCCGATGAGTGTCCACACTTTTACCGTGCCAGTGGTGGTAATGGCTAAGACGACATCGTCTTTGCGTTTCATTGGGCGTAAGACATGAAGAGCCGATATCCAGTCGGGCTTTACTTTTGAACTCAACTGGTATATTATTTCAAGACTAAAGGGGTCCATTACGATTATTTCCGGGTAATAGCCAATACAAAAGAGGCGTACATCTTCACTATTAGCTGGGTGGTAGCTTTGGATTTGTGTGTGCACCTGCGGCAACTTTACCGATTCCATGCATTTTCCATCAATAAGATCCCATGTGCACATTTCACCATTCTCTGATGAACTAACTAGAAAATTATTATCAGGTAGTATGGAGGCACGCACTAGACACAATACCGGTGCCGAATGTCCAACTAGCAGACAACGTGGGGACATTTTCATGGTAATCGGGTCAACCTGCCACAAACAGATCTGTCCATCGTAGCAGCCGGTGACGAGTGTCGATTGATCATCTGATAGGAATACACTGGATACGCAGTGCGTAGGTGCCGACGGGCCCCAAAGAACCACCGGCACCACTAGATTTGTGCTGACCATGTTGAAATAGCGATAAGGCTGTGAAAAGATTGAAGAGCTCATCAAACTGGTGCCATCTTTAAAACCCACATTGTATAGCTGGTCGGCGACGACGGTGGTTAATGTGATGCCATAGCGCAAAGAAGTTAAATAAAAATGAGCTTAACGCTTACTAATTCAGAATTTTTGACATTTACCACTTTTAAATTGAATTACATTGTATTGAAATTGAATTGAAGATTATGGTATTGTTTTTTTTTCCTCGTGATGCACCAGATAATTGGTTGTTACGTACGAACAACTAAAATAAGGCGCACTACTCATCACATTTACCCACGTCTTTGCCATTGCTATATTTTATATTTTTATAAATTTATCTTTTGGAAGGTAAAATTAATTTTTCAACCACGACGACAAACACATTTCGACTGCGTTCCGAGTAAAGCTGATATTTGATAAGAACTGCAGAGCTGTCACTGTCGTAAATGATAAGCAAAATCCGATTAAAAAAAAAGATTTGTAAACATACATTTGTATTTATAAAGGTACGTATGTAATGGATCTCTTTGGAACCACATATGTACACACTAGGCCAAACTTGCTATACGAGCAAACGTGCTTACTTACACACAAGTTTAACTGTATAATTATGTAGTGGGAGGCTTTAAAATGACTATTACGATCGATTGGCTTGCAATAAAGGGCCGTTAACGAGAACTTTCACTTTTACAGTAAATTATCAGTTAACCCAAGACTGCTAATTAATAGACCTAATAAGCAAAGATTCAAAATAAATGAGATTGATCGTCCTAACAAGGCTGTAAAATAGCAGTAAATAAGAAATAAGTTTTTAGTAATGAGTTAACGTTCAGATTAGATAGTGGAATTTTGATTTGTGGCCATGAACTTTTATATTGTACATTAATTTAATCAATAGAAGATTCAGAAACACTAAAAAAAACTGGTATCAGTAAAGTGCGTATAACTGCTCATTTATTGCATAACTTTGGCTCTGCTAGGTAACTTTTTGTATGCCTGCATTATTGCTTCTTTCGAAAGTGTATCCTCAATTATCACCATAACCAACGAAAAAAGTATTCGATTCTTTTTATTGTGTTTACTGGCAGACAAGTTGTCTGCTTTCAGCAAATGCGGTCATGAGTTTGAGTAATGTACACGTATGGTATAATTTCAGTAATGAATGCAATTAATTTATCGCAAACACTGCTTGTGAGGGTTTTGGAACACTTTTTAATATACTCATAACATTTATTGCAAAAGCGAGGAACATATGTTTTCCACAATATTGTGTATAACAATAATCACACATCCCTTTTAGCTTTTATTTATGCAGACCGTAAGAACACTTGTTCGTTCGTTCATTAGGAAAATTTCAATAATAATTGCAAATTAGGCAGTCTTTTAACAAGTATATACGTTAGTATATATTTCCATAACAGCACTCGGCCAGCTTATGTGTATGCGAAAGCACGAGTTCGTTAATTGAACTTGCTACTGGACAGACGAAAGTGGCGCCCGCAATTTGTACCATCATTCAGCTCCGTTCATTCCCAGATGTTTTTTTTTTTATTGTACGCGACACTTTACCTTCTATATGTACACAGTGTGCACAAACGAATACGTGTATGGTGGCGAAATGTGTTTGATCGTTATGGTTGCACACTCCCAAAGTAAATTAATTTCTTGTGCTAACATCGCAATTGTCCGCTTCTACTTCTATGCCTCCTTTCCTCGCCTCCGCGGCTGTGCGTGTCTCACAATGTCTTTCACCCTCTTCCTTGTGCTCCCTCGTCGCTCTTCCACGTCTAGACACACAAACAGCAGCGCAGCGACAGCGCCAGTTGCAGCAGTTATGGAACTTCAATGTCGCGCAGTATACTCCGCTCCTCCTTCTACACCTTAAGCTTTTGCTTGCTTTCTTACACTCCTCAACTTGCTTTATTATTTATTTTATGCATTTACGTTTTGTATTATTACGGTCTCGCGCAATTAAAGTAATTTTTTATGCAAATTCTACCGAAAATTACTTTTCTATCACTTTTTTATTGTCTCTTGACTCAAGAAAGAAATGAAAATATCGACCGAGCAGAAAAATTATCGATTGACTTATGTGCCAAATGTCAAAAATGTTAATGAACAAAAAGCAAAGCAGAAAATATTCGTTTACGTGATGCACATTCTCGCTGAGCTGTGTTTCATAAACGAGCACGTAAAAGTCTTACAAATCGCATTTAACTAAATTAGTTAAAGTAAAATTATGAATAAAACATTTCCACAAACAATTAGGTTTATTGTTATAACTAGGGCCTCTGGTATAAGACATAATGCTCTAACTTAGATTTTCATGTAATAGGATTACGATTTAGTAAAAAAAACTTTTCGAGATTCAAAGCATTCTAAATTGTTTGAAATAGGTATGCAATCGTGCCTACATAGAAACATACATACAATACTACATACGGTAAAATTAATTCATGTTGGATATTGTTAAAAATAACCCAGTGATTTGATTGCCATATATATTGAAGCATTTTGACTGGAGTAAAACACTTCTCATCATGTACATATGTACATCTAAAGCCCTCCAATATCTTGATTATGTCGATAGGCTAAGCAATAATACAATGCTATAAAATCGAGCAAAAATTATTCTACAGAATTCTTGTTCAAAAATATAGTTTGCATTTCGAATACATCGATATAACTTTTAGTTATTCTTGTTATATTCTTGGGATACTTCATACATTTGAAGTGGGCTATGATTTGTTGCTTTCAGCGTTGTTGAAGAGCTCTCCAAACTAGGCCCCCAACGTGGAAAAGTTGAAAATAACTAACAACTTCCTATGTGACTACATTAAGTTAAACGCATATTTTTAAAACATATTCTTATACGTTATTTCAAAGCATTATGACCTCAGTGGCAAAATAAGTTTTAAATAAATTTTACTATGTCTTTTGAGTCACGGTAAGCTTTTCCTGCGAAAGCAATTTGTAGCACGAATTCTTTTAGCGGATAAAGTGTAGGCAAGAGCTTGGATTTTATAAACCCAAAGCAAAATATAATTATTTTCCGTTTAATGATTTATAGCATTTTTGAAGGGTTTTATGTGCTTATACAGAAGTGAACCGTGCCCGAGTACCACTCAGCCTTGCATTGATTGTATTGTGTAGAGGCAAGATTTATATTTCCAATGCAATTGTCAGTCTACAACGCACACACGTTGGATGTGCAACTTTGAACTATAGTGTTTCTGTAAAACGGCGGATTGATATCCACAGATCGTTTTGGTACAGTAATTGAGCAAATGTCATAATAATGCAGCTTGGTGAAATAATCTTTTGCAAAAATATCCGTGTCCAATACTTTTGGTGTCACTAAAATAATACAAATTTTTTTATCTGTTTCGTATCAATTCGAAAATCCAAACGCTCCCACACGCTTTATCAATGATATCGGGGAACGTTCCGTAGAAATTTCAAAAGATAATTTGAATGCACTTACCTGTTAGCCAATGCTTAAGTTGCTTTATTTCTTCTAAATTTACAGCTTTGCACGAAAATTCTATTAGAAATAATAAATATCACTGATTTTAGTAGTTTGAAAAAGATTGATTCGCCATCATTGACATTTCTATTTTTCCTTTGGGTATGTTCATTGCATACACCCAGGCTTGCAACCGCAATCAAAGACTTAGAATTTTTGTATACTTCAAAAGATTGTAAATTAGAGTAAATAAGAATGAAAATTTGTCTAAGGTTTTAACCACAAGTTAAGAAGAGCCGATCATATAATAAAGTATTACATTTTTTATTAAAATAATAGGTTTATCAATTCCCAGGTAAAATACAACTCTAATTGTATTTCAGTGAACACACCACTTGGGAACAGCTGTTAAGATTGTTTACATCCAAAGTGATCTTTTTTTCCGGTTTGGCATTTTTCTTTTGTTTATAAAAACATTAATTAGATTAGAGAAGATATTTCTTACAATAAGATTAATATCGCATAAAATGCTTAAGAACATTTGTTATTCGCAGATAGGTATAATAATTATTAGTCTTATTCTGATTAATGGGACATACGAAACGCAGGGAGTAAGGTTTTACACAAAAGAGCGCATATTACACTTAAGGTTCTCTATTTAATAATACCTTCAATTTTTATATTATACTTATTTATCAATTTTATTGGCAGAGAAAATGTACGTGCTATGTTCCATCATGCTTATGAGGGCTACTTGCAATACGCCGATGGCTACGATGAGCTACGTCCCCTTACATGTGATGGCGTAGACACTTGGGGTAGTTATTCTCTAACTTTGATTGATGCATTAGATACCCTTGCTACAATGGGCAATTATACAGAGTTTCGAAGAGTTGTTAAGATCATCGAGTCAATGGATTTTGACAAAGACATAAATGTCTCCGTATTCGAAACAAACATACGAATTTTAGGCGGCTTACTCTCGGCACATATGCTCTCAAAACAAGCTGGTGTACAGCTGGAACAAGGCTGGCCATGTCAAGGTCCACTACTGCGTCTGGCAGAGGATGTGGCGCGTCGATTACTACCCGCATTTGATACAGCAACAGGTATGCCTTATGGAACTGTTAACCTACGTTATGGAGTGCCTAAAGGAGAAACCCCTGTGACATGTACTGCTGGTGTGGGTACATTTCTTGTAGAGTTTGGCTCACTTAGTCGGCTTACAGGCAACTCCATCTATGAGGATGTTGCGCTTAATGCAGTATATTCATTATGGGGACGTCGCTCAGGTATAGGGCTGTTTGGAAACCATATTGACGTACAAACAGGGCGCTGGACGGCGCTAGATTCGGGTATAGGTGCGGGTGTTGATTCATTTTTTGAGTATCTGGTGAAAGGTGCTATTATGCTAAATCGACCAGAGTTAATGGAAATGTTTCATGAGGCGCGCAGACACATCGATAAGTATCTGAAGAAAGAAGATTGGTACATATGGGCTCATATGAATAAAGGCCACGTGACATTGCCAGTTTTCCAATCACTTGAAGCGTTTTGGCCCGGCGTACTAAGCATGTTTGGCGATATTGCTCCTGCAATGCGTACTTTGGTCAAATATAGCACAGTATGGCGAAAATACGGTTTCCTACCGGAATTCTACAACATACCGCTTGGAGAGGCCTCAGTAAATAGAGAAGTGTATCCACTGAGACCAGAACTTATCGAATCTGTAATGTATTTGTATCGTGCTACAAAAAATCAATTTCTTTTGGAATTAGGCGAAGATATAATACAGTCGATTGAGTTCAGCGCCAAGACACGTTGTGGATATGCGACGGTATATTTTGCCTACACAAGCTATCTAATACTTTGCATTTATTTAATTGCTTTATGTATAATTTTAGATACGAAATGTCGTCACCCACGAGAAGGAGAATCGCATGGAATCATTCTTCCTCTCGGAAACAACAAAATACCTCTATCTCCTCTTCGACGAGGAGAATTTTCTACATAACGATGGCGCCGTTGGCGATCGCCTGCAAACCCCACATGGCGATTGTGCAGTAAATGCAGGTTCCTATATTTTCAATACCGAAGCGCATCCAGTAGACATGTCTGCGTTGTACTGCTGCCATGACATACATGACGATATTTTCGATGGTCTTGATATAGGTAGATTTAGCGATGAGGCTTTGCTCAAAAACGAGCGCGAAAGATTAATAGCTGAACGTGAGATAAGTGAAGAATACACATGCTCTCAGAAACTCTCAGAAGACACTCAAGAACAACAACGACAACCAAAAACACTTAATACAACTACCTCTGATAATAAATTCAAGTCGGTTTCAATTGCGCCAGTAGACATAGACGTCTTCGATGAGTACGACAATCCAGCAGGTGATTTGCTAGTCGAGAACTTTGAACGCGTCAAGAGTGGGCGTAATCAAAAAGCTGAGCTCGTCGGTACAGCCGAGGTTGTTGAACACGAACCACTGTCCAGCAATCATCTCACTGTAACCGATTTAACTAAATTCTTTGCTATGAAACGCGATGAATTCATACATCCCGAACTAGCGCTGCACTATGTTCAGGGGTTTATGTACAACTTCACGCTAGATCCACCTTTAATATCCGGGCTGCAGTTGTTGCACAAAAACATCACCGCCGTCTTAGGTATAGCTGCACAAAAAGAGTATGAGAGTCGAACACGCACGGTGTGGGAGCTTTACGAGTTGCAACAACAATACCTAGCCAACATCGAACTAATCACGCGTCTAGATATACTCGCTTTCGACGACAACGACATTGAGTTGTTGGATCGGGTGCTAGCCGCACTAAATCACAGTGGCTCTGAGAGCTTAGAGCTAAGCGATGTTGGCGAGGATGCCTCTCTGCGTGTAATGGTGCGTCAGATGTCATCGCTGCACACCGACTACCAGCAGGCGCTCCTCAACACCACCGCTATGCAAGAGTTCCTATTAAAAATACTTATTAACGGTACCAGCGATAAGAATCGCACTTACATACCTTTACTAAACAACGAAGAGATCCGTACACTATTCGAGCAAAATGATGACAAGGAAAAATATGCAACACAATCACTATTCGCACACGTGCGTAGGATTGTGGAATTCAAAAAGCGCTTAATGGAAACATTCGATCGCTTACAAAAATTAATGGCCGAAAATGGTGTTACAAAGAGCCCAAAATCTGTCAACTCTAATGAGGTGAAACAGTTTGCAAAAACGCAAACTGAAAAGCACAACATTTTAGCGGCGAAAAATCAAAACAATGAAGCAAAAGAAACTGCCGAGGAAGATGGTGGTGGGGACTCTGTGTGGACACAGTTAGTGCATACCATACTGCGAAAAACCACAAATCAACGTAATCAATTCAACGAAGCGCTGCTGCACGAAAAAGCGCGAATGGCACTACAAAATTACCCTACCTTCAGAATGACCAATTCGACGGCAAAGGTGAAAACACTCAATGGCTATGAGGTGTTCACCTGCGACGCCCCTGAGTTCTTGGACAAGTTCGCCTATCGCGAATACTATCCATAGCATTGTTACATGCTTCAGCACTGTTATCAGTATCACTTTAAATTGCGCACTGTAACAGTTGTCGACCCACCTTGACTTACAACGAATTTTACAAAGCGGGCACGAACGAAGGTCTAGTGTTTATTTAAAAGAAAAAGAAAAAAAAAGTTACGGCATTAGCTTAATGTTTGACGAATGCGCTAGTTAAAGCTACATGTATAAAAAGAGTTTAGTTCAGAATACCGTTTCAATTTATATTTTTGTAAATTAATAACTTATACATACGTGTACATACATATGTGTATAGCATTTTTAAAGAGGTGTAAAGTAGAAATAGTTTTCAAAATATTGTCAATTTCAAAATTCAAAGTTACTAATGGTGAATGTAAAAGTGTAAAATGTAAAATTAATAATTCGTGGTCCTTAAATATAAGATTGTTATTTTATTTTACTTATTTTTCATTCCTCTCAAATAAGCAATCGGAAATTAACAGTTTGGATATGTTTAGTAGTATAGTGTTTATTAAATTGTACCGCATTCGAAACTCAAAATAAAAAGCAAAGCTTTGTAATTGAATTTGAACTTTTTTCGCAAAGCTTTTAAAGTGTAACTGTGAGCATTTTAGCTTAAATTTCTATTTAAGGACAATCACGTAGCAACAACAACAATTATGTATGCATCAATGTATGTGTGTAGGTATGCATGCGTTTAGTATATGTACATATGTATGAAATAAATGTGTAAGTGAAATTGTGTATACATTTATGTGCAAATGTTAGGTGTAGGCGCAATTGTGAAGGTGAAGAAATAAAGATTAAATTTAAATAGTATAAAAAATTAATTTGATTTTGTGTTTCTCTTTTTACCTATCTGATGAACGTATATAACTGGTTGAATCATAATTGTATAGGGTTATCCATTTCGATCTTTCGAAGTCGTATTCAGCAAACATGACAGTGCGTCTGCTCATAAAATTGACTCTCCCGACAGCAGGTTCTACGCACCGGAGTCGACCCGGATTTTATCCGGCCAAGGGCTGTCACCCTTTCGGCGACCTAACCCCGTTTAGGTCAACACGTAACTTTAGTCTAAGTTCGCCAATGGAGCAACAGCTTGCAGCTGGGTTACTCCAGGGCTGGTGTAGAAACCAACCCTGGACCGACGGACTATTTCTGCTGCGTGTGTCACAGCAGACTTCACTATTCCTCCACATCGGTTAGATGCAACCAATGCAGTGGTTGGAGTCATCTTAAGACCTGCTCAAGCCTTAAGACTCACAGGGAATGGACCACGAGTTATGTGGCCCCATGATGCAACCGCCCCCCAGCCTCCACGACAGTGCCTTCAGCACCTGTACCCACTCTGGGTAATCAGCAGACCTCCACGGTCTCAGGGAGCTCCCCGCAGCATGATTCCTTCCAACCTCAACCTCTGGCTTGCGCACCAACAGTGAGTGGAGCAATGCGTATGTTGCCCCGTGCTGTAGGAGTCTGCCCCGCATGTTTCGACAAACCCTCCGCCAACTAACACCAACGTGCGGAACCAACTCTCGTGGGTAGTACAGCAGCAACACACACCATCCACGCATCACTCCCTCACCCCACCCGTTTCACGAACGTTCCCCCGAGACAGATCCGACACTTACAATTTAACTGCAACGGACTCCAGGGAAAGATTGACGAGATAGTCAACTACATGAGTCGGGAGTACCTTTCAATTGCTGCGATCCAGGAAACTAAGTTGACCGCCCGATCAGATCTTCTGAGCCGGGCCGGATACAACATAGTCCGCAAGGATCGCGAGTGAGACCACGGTGAGGTTTAGCGTTCATCCTGCACAACACCGTGCAGTGTCGTCTTATCGATGGCGACATCGACCGCAGGAATACTACCTTAGAATTTCGGGGCACAGCTATCCGGTCAGGCGACGTCGAGCTCGAAATATTCAATATATACATTCCTCCAGTTACAAGTTGCCCAGCAGGATACATCCCTGATATAGGTGCGCTACTAAACAACTTAGGAAACCTTTTTCTTTTAAATTTCTGTTTCAAGGAATACAGCACAACAAACACTTTTCACAAAGTGTCTTTCAAAATCTACCTTTCAAAACTTTTATGGCAAACATAACGTACTCGCTGGAGAGGTCATTGAACTTTTATTTAATGCCTTCAAAACTCGTCTTCCAAGTTTTGCATGCATCTTTCCCGCCAACAGCCCACAAAAATATATTTAAAATGCAATTCTTTTGTGCATAGAAATGTCACAAGTCTCTAACTCAACCCTTGATGCCACGAGACAGTCCAATGCCAATCAATGCTGAGTTTTGTGGCATGCGAAAACTTTGTTAATAATCATAAAAAGCAACGAAAACACGCACGGTAAGCACCAGCACTGGCACAGGCAACAAGAAAATTTGAAATGCAGCGCGTCAGTCTGTTGGCGAAAGTGCTCGGAGGCACAAGGACCGAGAACGGATTTGTTGAACAAATTTGAAAAAAACGTGTCACATCGCAATGAGCGTTCGCATAACACCACCGATATTGACGAAAAGTACGGAAGCAGCGGAAGAAGAGACGCCGGAAAGAGCTGAGTTGCCTTATAATTTTGAAAAGGAACTTATTGAAAATCAAAACCGTCACTTTTGTGGACACAAGACATTTGTGCCATGCACAATAGGTGGGCGAATTTTGGGCTTTTATTTAAAGAAATTCATGCCTTATTGGAACTTTTACTATTTCCTCACTTCAGTTGAACCACTCGAAATGAAGTTTCACGCCAAACACGACCTAAATACGTTGGATTATGAAAAGTATCTGCCATTCGTTGAGCAGCGCGGCAAGAGACGCGCTCGTGGCATTTTACCTCACCTGTCAGCGGAAGTTTATGGTTGGTTACCGGTGAATTTGGTCGCTGAGGGCGTAAAGGAACTGAACTTCATTTGTGCACCGAAAATTCGCAGCGACATGACGATACACGGCGAACGGGTTGTGAGTGAGCGGGTGACGGAGCGACCGCCCTTCAATGGCTTACGATTTGTTGTATAAAAATTAATTTTATGTAATATAAGTTTCTGTAAAATTTTTGCATATGTATGCATGTATATGCATACAAATATACTAATTTTTAGTAAAAACTCAGTAGACAATATTTTCTCGTCTTCAAATTCTTCAAATTCGCTTGCTCTGACCTACCTCGCTACATTCCATATGTGGTATGTACGTGTATGTGCCAAAAAAAAAAAATAATAATAATACTTATGTCTGTACATACACAGTTATCCAGTTATGTATACAGTTATGTGTGCTTGTCTGCTTACAACATTCGTGATTACTTCTGACACGCGAACCTGAGAAGCCGCAATAACCACATTTATGGCTAATACAAATTAAGAGGCTCCATATTAAGCAGCGAAAAAATTTCCTTTTTTGAATATTTTCAAGCATAATTTTAGGAGCTTCTAAGCACGTGCCATTTTGTAATCGAGAGGATGAAGTGGTTTTGGAGAATGATTATATCATATATTCTGATTACAACAACTTCTGATTTCTTCATTTAAAAAACATAATAAATTTCTGAGTTCTCATAATTCATTCCGTAGTACTAACACCACACTTGCGAATAATATTATATATGGAGAATGCTCAAAGTAAAACTATGTGCCTGTCATTTGTAGCGAGGCGAGAGTCGTATTCCTACCAAAGGAGGGAAAGGATGACTCCTCTATTCGAATGAATACAGACCAATTGGACAAACCTCATTCCGTTTAAAGATAACCGAAAATATTCCGACGCCTGCATTAGAGGTTAGCTGCTATCAGCCAGTTAACTTACTTACTTACTTCACTGGCGTAGATACCGCTTACGCGATTGTAGCCGAGTAAACCACATTGCGCCATTTGTTTCTTCTTTTTGCTGTTTGACGCCAATTGGAAATACTAAGTACAGCCAGGTCCTTCTCTACCTGGTCTTTCCAACGGAATGCTCCGCTTCCGCCGGCGGGTACTGCATCGAAAACTTTCAAAACTGGAGTAGTCGCATCCATCCGGATCACATGATCTAGCCAGCGCAGCCGCTGCTTCTTGATTCGCTGAGCTAAATCAATGTCGTCGTATAACTCGTACAGCTCATCGTTCCATAGTCTGCGTTATTCGCCGTTGCTAGCGCGCAGTGGACCATAAATCTTACTCAAAACCTTTCTCTCGAAAACTTTTCACGCCAACTCATCCGATGTTGTCATCGCCCATGCTTCCGCACCATATACAATAGCAGGACTGGAACGAAGACTGATTCTGCGTTGGATTTCCATCCTGACGTTGTTGTTGGTATTAATACTGGTTCCTAAATAGACGAAGTTATCTACGACTTCAAAGTTATGACTGTATACAGAGACGTGGAAGCAGAGTCGCGAATGCGATGACTGTTTGTGTGATGACAGGAGAAATTTCGTCTTGCTCTCATTCACTACCAGACCCATTTGCTTAGCTACTTTATCGAGTCTGGAGAAAGCAGAACTAACGACGCGGTTTTTAAGGCCAATCATGTCAATATCATCGGCATACGCCGGCAGCTGTACACTCTATTCAGCTCTGCGGCTCCATTTATTTTCTCTTTTAAAAGTCCGCTGAGGTGTAGGAAGATTAAATAGGAGTGAAACGAAGCCAGACTGCTCGGTCAACCGCATAGAGCAACACTTCAAGGTGATTTTCTGTCCACCTACTCGTGTTTATGCTTAGCGAATGAGCTTCTTCCAGGTACTTGGGAGTAATTAAAACAACAAAAATAAGTGCAAGCTGAATGTAAAGAAAAAGTGGGAAAGGGCTAGTGAAGCCCTTTACGCCAGTAAAAGCTGATGGGTACCTTATGAAGTCAATCCTCAGGCGTCATGCATTCGTATTGCCCAGCCATAGTTAAGGTGATGCCTTAGTGTGTTGGACCGCATCTAACATCGCGCCTCACTGTACTGAGAATAACAAGGGTGCTAAGGAACACGCCAACGGTGGCAGCTAAAAAATTAATTGACTTCAAATAAGCCATGAGATTAATGGCCTTTGTTGAACTCTGCCCCATAAGCTGGGTCGAGGACAAAATAGACGCCATGACAATACGCTTTATTCGTGTCAGAGGGTTTCACGCTATGTAACTAGCCAGGTGGGGGTCTTCGCTATAGGAAAATCTGATGAAATTGCCAAAGTACCATCTGTCGCTAAAAGCTATCTATTATATTACAAAATTTCCGAAAGACCATGTGCAATAGCGGTAAATAAAATACCCAATTCTTTCTTATACGTTCGCGTAAGGAGACACCTGCAGGAAATGTAGAGAGGAAGTCATGAGTGAGTCCGTAGAACACCTCCTCTGTTTCTTTCCAATCATAGCGAGAGTTCGCCTTAGATATCTCAGAGCGTCGCAGGTCAAAGGACTAGAGAAGGCTCCGAAATTGATTGATCCTTAAAATACTCGCAGATTTCTTCCTCGAAGGCGAGTACGACTTGCTGGGAAGGATAAAACACTCGTCAGAGGTTTCAAATGATTTTGCAGTTTGTGTCTGTCATTGGTATTTCAAGGTCCCTACGTCGCGCATATATCCAGGTGCACCTGTAAGGTATCGTAGCATTTTTGATTGGAATCGCTGTGTTTTATGAGTAGCAGTTGCGAAGGTAGAGTTTGTTATTGTAATTGTGTTCCCTACATCCATATTGGCATAACCTCAATTTTTACCAGGTAAGTTGCCAATCTAGGTGGATGCCGAGATATTTAACTTCGCTAGCTTGAGATATCATACGTTGTTTGATTTCAGTATTGGGCATGTTTCTGTCTTTAGAGTGAATGTTACATGCTTACACTTTTGTTCGTTCACTTTTATGCACTAGATTGACAATTTCCAATGAGTTTTAAGTGATGTTCTAGTCTGATTGAGGCTTTTATTGGTCACTTGCTTGGAAATAAAATAGCAGAATTGCTGCAGTAAATAAGACATTATTTGATATTGGTCCCAAAACGAGACCTTAATGAACACCAGCCATAATTGGGCATTGCTCTGATATAAATTATTCTACCTTAACTATAAACCTTCTGCTAGTATCATGCTTTACTGAAAATAAAGATCTGATAGAAATTTTTTAGCATTATTAGTGCGTTCTGATGTTACGTATACGACGAGGTGTCACAGAAATATCTTTTATACAAAGAAAAAAAGGCCGGCAGACGCCATTCTCGAAGAGGATTGCAAAAAAAATTGGGTTTTTGTATCATAGATCCAATGTTTTTAAAGAAAAAAGTAAAAAATTCATTACTCAAAGAATTGTCCGTCGGAAGTGATTAATTTTTCTCATCTTTTTGGATACCATCTCGATCGGCAGGAATACTGCTCTTCTCTCTGGAAAGTGCACCGGAGACCAACTTAATAAAAAAAAGTGGCGTCTTTGGTACGATTCACGTGAAATTCGGTACAATGAGAATTTTTTACCAAAAAATCGTATTAATAGTTATTTTTGCTTGAAAATTTTGTTTACTTATGCATGGTTCGCTTAAGCTGAATTTTTGGGTGATCGGCCTAAATGGAACTCTTTTGTTTATTTGGAGTAATCCAGAGGCATGGAATCAAGTTCGATTTCGATAAATAATAATTTATTTCTGGCAAAGTGATCTCCGCTTAGAAATATACTATTTTGAGGCCACTGGTTCGACTACAGTGTGAATAAGAATAAAAGACTTTGACAACAACACTACCTTCCATTCAATGCTTGCCTAACATACTCAAAGTTACGGTGACATGAATAAACCCTGTGAGTAACCATCAGTGTGCGTGCCAATCTGCACAAAGCTCCAACCGTCGATGTATTTTGACGATAGTCACTGCGAAATGCCAATTGATCGGACTTTAGGACGGACACATTACCTGATAACTTCTGTAATTTAATGAAGTCAACAGAAGAATTTATTCACGAAGTATTCCCAAATACTAAAATAAATTATAGGAATCACGTAGCTGGCTGAGTAACCGATCTATCTCGCTGCAAAAGCTAAGATGTCTACGATCTCGGCCACAATATTTAGCTCAACATCGAACCGATTGTGTCACATGTAAGTCAATAGACATTGTTGTGGAAGTAGATAAGGCGGTCAATTATCCAACAGTCTTGCAGTCTTCGGACTTAGCGTGGTAATTAAATTTACGAAGACAAGACATCCAATGAATCATTTTTCATACATTCATTATCATATTGCCTTAGGTGGTATGGATAACATATTTAAAAGTATTCATATACATAATTATACGTACAGACATTTATATCAATAAGAAATCTCCCCTACTCCTTTAGCTTTTCAATGCACGCACTGAGATGTGTTCACCTGCAACCCCAAGTATAAATTCAGCTAGAAAACGACATTGCCTTTCAGTCAATGCAATAATTTTAAACGAACAACAACTTCAAAAGCCAGAAAATCGTGCTGCATATAATTATTAAATATTGTTGCTTTTTAATCATTTTTGCTAAAAATATTTTACTCGAAATCCCGGCAAAATAAAGTGATAAAATAGATTCACGTACGCACATTCGCTGTTAAGGTGTCTAAAAACGGGCAAAAGGCGATTAGATGCGACGCTGCTGTTTGCTTACAAAGTGCAATTAATCAGGCGAAATCAAGACAAATAATGAAACAGAAATAAGTAAAAATAAAAATAAAAACAAAAATTAAAATAAAAGTACATTTATAAATATTATTCGTCGAGTCCGTTGGGTTTAGCTTTGCAGACAATGATTTTGGTTATTTTGTTGTTGCTGTCAATATGTGCGATTATTTGGTGGCAACGGAGAGCTTGGTTGCTGGTGTGGCGTCTTAATGGTTGGCGTGGTCTGGTGCAACAACCGTATTTGTGGTTGCTTCTAATCTACTATTTGGAGCCAAAGAGTTAAGTTCAAATGCAGAAAAGAGAAAGTAATTATTTTTATTATTTAAAAAATAAAAACTTATGTTTTTTATATAAAAACCCCGCTAAAGGTTGTTGTGGCTTGCAACGATAAAAAATAACACCACCAACACAACTCACCGAACATATCATATCACATTACATCAAAAGTCAATATCAACACCATCATCATTAGCATACAGAGGAAGATACCTATACATACCTCATGTACATGCAATATGTGAAGCATGTAAATATGTACAGATATCCAATATTCATAACGTGCACAATACGTTGTAGCATCAAGTTTTTAAAATAAAGCAACGCGCACAAGGCAACAGACGTCCCTCTCTGGGAAGGTCAATGCGGCTACCTTTTACGAATTAGCTTTTAATACTTAACAGTCGAAGAGGCTTATTCCACCTTCTGGAAGGTATTTATGTGGTTCTAATTCTCTACCTCTACAAGCCTACGTAAACGGATATGTCTGAAAATTCACTATGTCTCCGCACCCGGAATATACTGCTATAAAGCAGCGGCTTACGAACGATCCGACCTACATATATATATATATATTCAAATCATATCTATTTTCATCGATCTATTGATATCCTATTAACTGCCCAGAGTGAGAGAAAGAGACTGTAGTATATGTTAATCTTGCCAAAAATCTACTCGATTTCAAAGAAAACGGATTTGCTCCCTCGTCCATTTCTGGCAATTGCTTATCTAAATAAATAAATTTTTTGAATGGATCGCTTCAAGATCTACTATGTGGAAGTGAACCCTTTCCCAAGTTATGCCAACTGCCACTTGTATACCAAATTAATGGCGATTTTAAAACGAACGGTCCACATTCTGGTTGTTTCTAAATGGTTAGAAACTTTTCTTGACATCCACAAATTTTTCAAGATCAAAATTAGACAAATCGGTCCAGCCATTCTAGAGTTATCCCCGTACATACATACATCTCAGCTGTTCATTTTTAATATAATTTAAAAATTTGTTAGCAAAATAAGGCATTTAGTGAGTAAAGAAAGAAAATAATTATTCCTATTTCTTGTTGACTCGAATAACAGAACTCCTTCAAGCCGTTTCACGCACACGACATCGCTTTCAACGGCCTTTGGGTATTGTTTTTGGTAACAAACCCGTCATTTATGTAGATGATCCGGATACTATGGAACAACTCTTCAATGCTCCGGAATGTATTGACAAGTCATTCTTCCAGGAGGGATTTTGTTTGAGACGCGGTCTGCTGCATGCCAGGGGTAATTTACCGTTTAGAGTATAGGTACTAATTTTTGAAAAAAAAAATTCTAAACTTTTTAATATGTCTAGGGGCAGCTTGGAAATCTCGTCGTCGTCAACTCGATCCTGCTTTCGGATCAAAGGTTTTACTAAGTTTCATCGGCACCTTCAATACAGTGGGCAATCAGTTGGTGCATAAATTTGAGACGGAACTTTTGGGTGATAACATTAAATTCGATACGCTCGATGATATGTTTTGCCGCGCGGTACTCGAGGTATCGTGTCGTAAGTTATAGTTTTTTTTATTATTTACATATATTTAAAAATGCTAAGTGATTCTGTTAAATCTTACATAAATGACGGCGGAGTAGTTAGCATTGCTTATTGCCTTTCGGAAGGCGCGCGTGCAAATCCTGGTGTGGTATTAACATCCAAAAAGTTACAGAGAATCAATGAAAATAAAAAATTAAGCTGAATTTTCTAATTGCGGTCGGCCCTCGGCAGGGAATGTCAAGCCCTCTGAATGTATTTCTGACATGAAATATATGCTCTTCATAAAAAAAAACTATCAGACGATCGGTGGCGGCTTTAGAAAAAAAATTGGAGGTCCTTCCATTTGCTAGGAAAAACATTATCAAGATACCACAAATTGAAGGAGAACCCCGGCTGAATATCGCTTCAGTGGTTAAAAAGCGCCAACATATATAAATATACACATATATATATGTATCATATATATTTATTTGCTAGATTTATGAAAACATCTTTTCTTAAACATTTTCCAGAAACAACAATGGGCACGGAAACCAATTTTACTGCTGCAGACACACAGAGTATAGCAAGAACATATAGCGAGTAAGTACATCTCGCTTTGAAGAGAACTTGAATACATTCTCGGTTGCATTGAAATTTCTAAATTTCTAAAGGCTCATGCACATATCGGCACTGAGAGGCACAAAACCATGGTTGCAAGTTGAATTTATATTTCGGCTTTTGGATTCGAAAAATTATAAGCGTACCCAGGATCTCATGAAGCATTTAGAGGATTTTGTAAGAGTTGTAAGTATCGCCTGCATTATGACGTCACAATAGTCAAGGGAGTTAAGATTATAGTTTTGAAGCAACAAAAGCGACACTAAGACCATTTCTACCATATTTTCCTGTAATACACTTTTTACTCTTCTCCAGATAGTGGAAAAGAAACACTCTGAGTGGAAGGCGGGCAGTGAGCACAATATAACGAGTATTGTTGGTGATAATCTTGACTCAAACGCTGACGGTACAGAAGATTTGAGAAATGTTAAGAACATTTCCAAGGAGCATATACCACGTAGACGTATTTTTATAGAGCAAATATTTCATATGGTCGACACTGGAGAACTGCGTATGGAGGACGTTATGGATGAAGCGCTCTCCATGTTGATGGTGGTGAGTTTTCAAGTGTCTCGATTTCATCGTATACAATATTTATGTATATAAAATATTTTTTTTTTGCCTCCAGTCATTCGAGACGATTTCCACCAGCGTTCTCGTCACCATGCTCCTTTTGGCCGCACATGAAGACCACCAGCGTAAGTTGCGCGCAGAAATTGCAGAAACTTTCCCACAACTTGATCAAATTACCAATATCGACCCAGCACAGTTACTGCAAATGAAATATCTCGACTCTATAGTTTACGAATCGCTACGTCTACTGACCACAGTGCCGTTCAATATGCGCGCGGTAAGCCGAGATTTTTACATACACCTCACGGCAGCGGGTGGCGCAAGGAGAAGTGTCAAAGTACCTAAAGATACTGCGCTCGTTTTCGATGCCTTCAATATGCAACGCGACGAAAAGTATTGGGGCACACATGCAAAAGAATTTCACCCTGATCATTTTGTCGCGGGTAGCATGGGGCCAATCACTAGACATCCATATGCCTTTGTGCCTTTTGCCAAGGGTCTGCGATATTGTATTGGTAAGATTTCAGATATAATTTGCAGTGATATCTGGATAAGAGAGAGAGTTGCTCGTTTTTAGATGGAGATACCGAGAACTATTCTCACTTATTGAGTGCTCTCGCTTAATCAGCTCTCTTAACCAGGTTTGACTGTATGTGAATGAGTACGTTTTCAATATTATTAAACTCTTTATTTTCTCAGGAAATCGCTACTCAATGTACTTGGCCAAAATATTTATTGTCAAATTAATTTATCATTTCGATTTTGGCACCTCAACAAAGCTGTCTGATTTGCTGTTCATAAATGGCATTTCGTTGAAATTTGACAAGAGCGAAAACATTAGTTTCCAAATAAGGAAGCTCACGCATATGGACATATGATGATTCACCCAATGTTCAGTTTCGCTATTAAGCTCGCTGAAAAATTGATGGATTTGAAGATGAAAAATATGTACATATACATATATATTTTTTATACTTTCATAAATAAACGAGGTGTGTTCCAAAATTAACGGAACTTTTAATTTTTTTTTAACATTCAATCGTTCCTCTACATTAATAGTCCACACTTCGCAAACTCGATCATAAACGACGACCTTTTAAGGTTCTCTTCACTTTTGGAAATAGAAAAAAGTTGGAGAAATATGACAGTTCTGGCATCGTAACACCGTTACTTTGAATTGTTTTTCCACAATTCCGGGTATTATTTTAGATTGCTTTACACAAAGGACCTTGAACTTTTAGTAGTACCTTTATTGTCAGCTTGGTTTGTAGGAATTATGATGAACTATGGCGCCCGCGGTAGCCAAGTGGTCAGCATTGCGTACTGCCATTCCGAAGACCAGGTTTTAAGACCTGGTACGACCAATATCCAAAAGTTGAAGAAAATTAGCAGAAAATGTCAACCCCTCCGAATGTATTTCTGACAAGAAAATCAAAACCTACTCATACAAAAAAACCACCAGCCCTTCGGAGGCGCCTTCGTACATATAAACTGTAGGCCTCTCCAATTGTTGGAAAAACGTCAAAACGCAAAACCATTAAAGTCGAACCTTCACGTTTTCGATATTGGTGGGTCAAAATGACTCCTCTACGATGATTGAAACTTTGGACTTCATATCTGTAAACCCATGTTTCGTCACCTGGTATAAAATAGATATACTATTGAGGGTTATTTTTAAAACCTCTAACAGAACGTTTACACAAAATGTGGTCACGTTTCGTGCTTCAAGTGGAGATTATAGTACAATAATCGTTCCTTCAGTAGTTGGACAATTGGTGAACGTTTAAAGACTTTACCAGTTACAGATATTATAAGGCCTGTGCATCATAGTTTTGCTCGCTCCATTTAAAATATTGGCACTGTACGTAATTTTCTTCACCGACGAGGCACATTTCACACTCGGGGATAAGTACATAAACAGACTTGGCACTCCGAGAACCCTCTAGTAAATGAAAAGAGACCTTTATATCCAAAAAAGCTTACTGATTGTGTGATTAGACCTTACTTCTTTGAAACCAATATCGGAGCCTTATGGTCGTATGATAACCAAATTTTTTTTGGCCTGCAATTGAATAGTTGCGAAAGAGATTTCTCGTCTTGGCGTTGTCAAAGTGTCACCGACATCGTGCGATTTGTCACGGTTAGGCCTTGTTACTTTTCAATGTAACGCCTTAATCGGTTCAAGCCCGGACTCTGGTAATGGTAGTGCTTCAGCGTTTCGTCAACTTCTGTGTTTGCATTCACTCAGTCGATTTTCCTTTACCTCGCTTATGGGGATGGTATTTCAGGGGTAGACGCGCCGTCAATGCAGTCACAAGAATATTAAGTCCTCTTATGATTACTGATAGTAACAGTTAGACCACACAGTTAGACCACACTCTACTGATGCACAATAATTTAGTTGAGTTCCAGACCTTAAATGTTCCTCTATGATCTACTTCGTACACAAACAATGTTAATTAACTTATTAAATAAAAGCAACTGGACCGTAATGCCTCGAACTTTAATAATGAAACTTTCTTTTATTTAGAAAGTACTTTGCTATTTCGGAAGTAGAACAGGGACCATGCACGGTTTACTTTTCGGCAACTGGATCAGCGACAGATCGAAGAATATTTTTTTGCTAATCCAATTAGATTGCGGCCCTTTATTGTGAGGCATTCCTTGAGTTTGTTAAAAAGCTCCTCTGCAGGTTCACCTGTTTGTTGAACAAATGTCAAAGCGCCAATTGTATGGTGAATATGAATAAATTGCGTCATGTTAGACGAGAAAACCTTGAAACCTTATTTTCAATGAAATTAACAAAAATACTTTTTAGTATAATTTAATTTTCAGTTCAGTTTTCTATTAGACATTTTCCTTGTATAATGTGTAATGTAAGCTAGCATAGTGGGAAAAGTACATGTCAATATGCCATAAAACTTAAATAAAGTAGAAATATTCCCAATAACATAGTTATCGTTATTAGTATAAATTAAGCTAAGTCAATACTTTTATTACCCTTCTTGCTCGAGGGTCCGAATAAGCTTAGTAAAACAGGCAGTAAAATAAGGCCATGTGCTGCTCCTATCAATACAATGCCGAGGTACATGCGGAAGTAGAACACCTGGAATATTTGTGATTTGGAGAAACCCAAAACGATGATACCAGCGAACTTCGTTAAGGTAATACCCGAGAACACACTACTGCCCGTCACTATCAACGCTTCTCTTGCACGTTCCTTCCTACTGCCGCTGCCATTTTTATACGAGCGTATAATATGCGCCACGAACTCAACACCGATACCAATGCACACCACCAAATTCACCAAAGAGACCGCATTTAGTGTTATACCCCAGGCCCACATCATGCCGAGCATATTTATCAGTATTATAAGTACCATAAAGGTGACCATCAGTGAAGAGGGTAAATCCAAACCGGTGATGAGTAGGGTGACGAGGAAAATCGTTAATATAGCAATGCCAAGAGAGAAAAGCGTATCATCCCAGATGGTTAGATACTGTTCGTAGAAGACGAAGAAAACACAGTAAGGAAATATGGAGACATCGAGGTTTTGCTCAGCAAACATTGCGTTTATATCGGCGGCGATACGACGGGCCTCACGTAGCGCCGAGTAGAATTGTAAGGATGTGGTCGAAGTTGTGGAGTACTGCATGAAGTAAGTATCCAAAATAGTTGAGTCGCCGTTCTCATCGAGTGTGTAAATGACGCCCTACGATGAGATTCCAGAGAGAACGTCAAGTTTGGTTCAAAGCGGAGTGAAGAGAAATATATTTTATTAGTTATTTATTAGATCTTTTTATTTAAGAAGCTAAATTTACTTACATCTGCATACGAAGCACGTCCAGCCTTTGCGCATTCACTATCTGGCAGATCAGATAAGAAGAAAGGTATATACTTTCTAAATATTTCCGGTGTTGGACGCAAACCATCTTCTGTGAACTCTCGCGTACAAGCTATACAATCGTCTTCTTTCGAGTCTGCCAGAAAAAAAAAGAGATTTATAGCTAAGCTAACTGCCAATAAAGACTGTTGCTATGACTTACTGCTTGGGCAGAAAGTGCCGTCCGTTGCGTTAATCTTACAACAGTCATCTATAGCAAGCCAATCAATATAATCGTCTATCCAAGACGAAGCGGAACGAGCCAAATGAGTGCTGCAGGTAGAAATATCATGAGTAATCAACGGTATTACATTTCAAAATAGTCCTCACATCTCTGGATAACGTGATTGCTGATAAAGCTTTACCGAAACAGAGTTATTATTGCACTCAACACCACCACATACCACATTCTGGTGTTCACGGTAGGTATAATTCAGACCCGGCTTCAGTACCCAATACACCGGTGCGCCCATGGATAACATTTCAGTCATGAATTGAAAGTATTTCACCACATGCGAGTCGGCTGGCATAGACAACTCCTGATCCAGTCCAACCTCGATGGACGGGGCAACCATCAGTGATAGGCAGGTGATTACGGTAAACGCAATCAAGACAATCAATCTCATTGGCCTGTGGGCGAATCATAAGTTTCAATAGTTAACAATTAAATAAGATTAGCCAAATAAAATAATTAATCACAAATCAGGGTAGTCAAGTTCTGTACAAACTCATAAACACTTTGTTCAATAATCACACTGCGTATTGCCATATTGAATAACTGTTGACACTCACTTGGACAGCAGGCAAGGCGCATAGAAGGTCTTGAACACCTTCTCCAACACACCAATGTCCTGGCCATCACTCAACTCGCCTTTCTTCGAAGTCTTGAAGCAGCAGAACAAATCAAGACGTCCAGCCTCCGAACGACGCTCATCCAGAGCCATGCAAGCAACAAAGGCAGTGATTTGGAAGAAGAAATTTACCAAAATGGCAGCTGCCGCATACATGGCGAACGTCTTTACAGCAGGCATATTCGAGATTGCGCCTGAATAGTATGCATTGTTAACAACTTAATTCTGCAATTTGTTTTGTACACTTACCAATAGCGAAGCAAGAAAACTCGGAAGCCGCAGTTTGTAGAATGGATGGACCAACACGCCCAATGGCCTCACCGATCGCCTCAGCGACATTCTTATAGTCTCGCCGATCTAAACGATGATAGGCATGCACCATAATGAAAATATTATCCACACCCACGGCTAACACGAGGAACGGTATTACTTCGATAGCCAACATTGTCGTCGTAACACTTAGATAACTCCAGAAGCCCAAACTGCAAACAACAGAAGCTAGCACTACTATAATACCAGCGATGGCGAGTATTATTTTCGATTCACGGAAGAAGCCGACGCAGCTGCGTATCTTTCCCAACGCAAAAGCGACGTACACGAACATAACAACATAACTGATGACGACAGTAGAAGCCTCGCCTTTTGATAATTCGACGATGCCATCCTGTATGGATCTCTCTGCGGAAAAAGCGATTTCCATATTGTCACTGGTGAAATTTTTAAGGAAATCGACGAAAGCTAATTCCCACTCCATATTGGGTTTAAGAAGATTTGTAGAAAGTCTATTTTTGCCCACAAATGTTATGACCAAGCCGGTGGCAAGCTGATAGTCGGGGTCGTCGTCTACTGATACTTCGGGCATACCACCAACCGATATAGCTGGCTCAATGGGACCACCATAAGTACCGAAACAAGACTCCAACATCGGCACGCTATGGATGAATAATATATCTATTTGAATTTCGTATTTCCCGATGCATCTCTGATCTTGTACTCACCGCAGACAATCCGCTAATTGATTGAGGTAATTATTGATATAGCCATAACTATCGGTGTATTCGTTTTCAAATTCATCCAAATCGTTTTGGAAGTAACCGAAAATTGATTGCACTAAACAGTTATCGGTGGTTGCCGTCTCTCCCGGATATAACACGGGCGCGTAGCAAACATCGGCCAAGGTTACACCATTTTCGGTAACCAAGTTCTCAATTTGTTGTTGTAGTTGGAATACTTCTTTAAGAAAACTCTTTTCGAATGCAGGACCAAAAGTCAAAACGCCCGTGGATGTGTTGTGTGTAAACTGAACGGGAAGCGATTAATATATAGAAGTTGTGGTCTCTTCAAAGTCTTTACTTACCGAAGTTTGGTTGAACGGTTTGAAGAAGATCTGATTCGTCCGATAGAAAGGTCCGAAATGCTCATCGAAGTAATCTTTCTCTAAACGCGTTTGACTGTCAACGCCGGCCCAAATATCGATAGGGTCTGTCGTCACATCCAAGTATATGATACCATAACTGAGACCAGCAATTACCCAAGAGCAAATAGCCAGAATAAGCACAGGGTTTTTAGCACAGAAGTAACCCCAAGCACGAAACATTTTTGACAGCAATACATTTATGGAACCGAAACCCGTGCAACATGCAGAAAGACTTATTTTCGGCTTACAGATATTTAGAGAGCCACAAAGTACGAAGACCATCACGAGTCCACCGAAAACAAGTGAAACTATGAAAGTGATGCCGTAGAGGCCAGCGATCATGAAGCCTTCCGCCACACCAGTGGGCGGATCGGTATATGGGCAAGAGTCGCTGCAATCTACACACGAACAGGCGTATGTGCCCTCATAGGCTTCTGAGCAATTTTTCGCATACAATACCAGGCGGACCTCCTCACTACTCTCATTTAAAAATTGGTAATTTATTGGGAATGGCACGTAATCACTTAGCGTTGGGTCACCCATGAAATTATACCATTTACGATGATCGCACGTTTTTGAATTGTAAGCACCACAAGCCAAATCCATTGCCGGTCGACCCGTCTGTGTATGCTGGATGCTCGAACAGCTGTCGTAGATACGCTGCACGGAATCATCATCAATGCGAAAGTCAACTTCCGTTACGTATTCATGGTCGTCATATGTCTCACTGTACGGTACCATGAAAAGACTTTGATTCTTCGCGCAAGTCATGCCGCAAATCGATAGGCCCATATTAAACACACAAGTAGGACAGCGTGCGTAAACGCCGTCAGCTTGTGACATACCTGAGCTCATCGTCATAATTTGGTCAGCGTCGCAGCAGAGTTCGAGTGGGCCTTGAAGGGATTAAAAATCACATTAGACAGGCGTGCAATAAAAGTCCCCTTAAGGAATCTTACCATCTGGATCAGCGGCTTTGTATTCAGCATACCACGTAGGGCAACGCCGCTTATATATCGCCTCGGCACTTTCATCCGTCAGCGGCTGTGCTGTTATGTTTGTGGCTCTGTTTAGCCAATGTATACCCTCCATATGGCTCTGGCCATACCAAATGCAATGTGGCTCTTCATCCCCGGCTACGAGGGGCACATTGAGGAGACAAAGCGAGGCTATCAATGCCACGAGCGTCGTAAATATCACAGTATTAGCTAAAAGATAAGTGTGAAATGTTATTTGTATATGTAAGTATATAATGCAATTCGTCTCTCATTTATCTGTATGATGTTGTGTTTGGCCACGATAAGTATCGAACGGCTTGAGTTTTAGGTAGCTCAATTCCATGTTAATTTGGTGGATATTTGATAATTTTTTTAATAATCCCAATTAAAAGTTTGAGTTATAAATAAAAATGTATATAAGTGCGCTTACGAGTATAATAAGCCTAACAAATTTGAGAACCTTTTGATAAAGAAAGAAAGATAGATAGATAGGAGATGCTATTTCTTTTAAGATCCGAATGATAATTTAAAAAAGCCTTATCCTAACAACCACCCTCACCTGCTAATCAAACCAATTTTTGGAGTTTGCAAAACTGAACAATATACATATGGGGTGTCTTTGCCCCCGTTATCTCGCTTAAGTCTCAAAAGGTCGCTGCCCATAGAGTCTCCCCTTACACTTCTACGCAGTGCGTTGAATTAAGGCTCTTCAAGATTTCTTGCCTGTTACTTCTGCAGAAGCCGTTAGATGGTACACCCAACCTCTCCAAGAAAGTCTATAACTGTAGATATCTTCTTTTTTTTTAGCGAAGTAAGGCTAAGTGACTTTCTTTAATTCCATACTGGTCATATAACACTCATTGAGATTTCTTCATCTTGAGTTAGCATCTTTGTTGAACAACTTTCCCACACTTACAGATGGAGAGCGGTATGACCAAACAATTCCATGATATCGAAAGTGAGATGTTACTGTTTTCAGGCATCAATACTAGGCTCAAAGAGAACTTCTTAGCTATCAGGGCTCTTAATGCGGTCTGGCTATCCGAAAGATATCAATACGATTTTCTGACCACATCATTGAGTTAGGACATTTGGTATAGCATACTGCTGTAGTTGGATGGATTCGGCTTACCTCGATTTTTGATAGATTTTGTATATATTATCATAGAATGGATAGGAAGAGCAACCATAGATCCAAGTCTTTACATTTTAGAGGTGCGCTTGAGTAATACATCAGAACGATCTGGTACGATAAGACGATAAATTATAAAGCCATACCGCTAGAGCACAATACTGAGTTTATAGAAGGAATATTGTCCAAGTCTGCTGAATGATAGTGAAAGTGCCACAATGGCAGAAGTCCAATAATGCTTCTTCAAGAATATGATATCACAAATTAATTCCCGTCGAATGAAACTTTGTGTGAGCTGCAATGAGAAAGTGGATTCCCGATACATGTACATACATATTATCGTCCACGAGGATTCCCGCGAGAAAATGGGCAACACATATCACCACTCAGCTGATTTTAAAGCTGCGTTCGACAGAGCTACTTTTACGCCTGTCTGAATTTTTTAGCACGACTTCACTTCGTAGACCAGCATTAATACCATCAGCAATGTTTGCCTTGTTATCCGAACCAGCGCAGCTTTTGACAGAAAGGTTTTGCGCAAGAGGACCATCGCGACAGCGAATATCGCAGATGATTGCTCGTAGAAACAAAGGCAGAGAAGGATCTTCATCATGTTGAAAAGTTCCCATTGATGCCGAACGGGGAAAAGCAGAACCGTATGGTTTTCAATATTTTTTCGGAACACATCTTTTCGACTTGATTTATACTTACTTCGGTTTGAGATTGGAGTTGATCTCAACCACTTTATGGAAAAGTTTTCGGAAGAATTTTGTTTTGCAGCTTATAAGCACAACTTATACAAAAATTGAAGCCAACGGCCATGAAACGCGTTGCATGTTCAGTGAATGGACGCAAAACGATCCCGACTTTTACAAGAAAATTTTGGAAGCTGTAAATGACCTTTGCTTCCAGCAAAACAGTGCAGCATGCCACACAACCAACGAAACAATTATTGGAAAACTGTGAGCCTGTGGCATGGCCTACAGGATCGTGCAATTTAACATCGCTGGGCTATTTTTGTAGGATTATGCGAATTCGTTTGGCCAAACAGATAAAGTCGACGATTGACACATTCGAGGAGAATATTCCGCGCGGTATTGCTGGAATACAGTAAAAAGTGTTCGTAATGTGATCTCTTGCTGGAATTTATATGAGTTAGTTATACGAAATAGTTTTTAAAACCCAACCCCAAGGCCTTATCTTTATAATTAAGCTGAATTCTTGGTCATAAAAATAGATTGTATGCGTTTTGTTTCTTCCTGGAAATCACATGCCGAAAAACACTCTTTATATAAGTGTTGCCTATGTAAATTAAGAAGAAAGAGAATCTCTTGCCATACGCACAGTTATTACTAAATTATAATCTTTCGAGTTCGCACAATAAATAATATTTTGTAATTAATTTCTTTGTTGTATAAAGCTTGTTAATATTTTTTTTTTTGTAGCAATAAATCAAAATGTAAGCGAAGCAAAATAAATTTGAGCTAAAAACTAATTTATGAAGGAATAGGGAACAATGTCTAATCAATGAAATACATTTTCCAAGGGGTCTTTGTAAAACCATAAAGTCGCACTCTCTTCACTCATTCATTTTCATTTATTTTATAACACATGTACCGCTAAACTTGAATAACATTGGATTCTCAACATACTTCTCATTTCTTTTTCTTTTTATAAATTTGTATTGGAACGGCTTTAAGTATTGCGAAAAAAAGGATATCGCAATAAATTTGCGTTACGCCTTCATAAAAACCAAAACTTTTTCACTTAATTTAACCAACACATTCCCGAATTTTTATCCAACAAACACGTCCGGCTTTGAGCCACTCCAAATACAGACTGATTTCAATACTTTTAAGGTTTTATCAAATATTACCAATTTTCAACTATTATAAAATTGGTTACATTTTTTTTTTTTTTTTTTTTTTTTGATTTTATGGGTCAGCGGCAATCCAATGCTTCTTGTAGATGATAAGTTGATAAGATTTCCACTAATTGCCGATTTAACACCTGCAACTAAGTAATTTTTTACTTTACTCTGAGTAATCGAGTCTTATCGTTTGATTTAAATAACAACGGAATTTATGCATACAACCGTAATCCAAATACTAATAATTACAACTAAAAGTATCGACCAAATGTTTTTGTTTTTGTTCGCTATTTTTGTGTATGGAAATATTAATTTTTGACAAGTGAGATGAGCAAGGTTTGGCAATGAATTCACCAGTCAAAGCAAAAATTAATATAAATTAATATTAAATTTCGTAATCTGGTTATTCTTGCGTTTAAACTAAATTTAATCAAATATTTTTATGCAACAAATTTTGAGCAATTTGCAGGTGTTTGGCAGCTTGCAGCTCATTTTATGATTAAAAGTAATTTTTTGTGTGTGCAAAAATCCATTTGCTACATGTGCACATACACATGTACATACATATTATCGTATGAACTGCCTGGTTATCAGGTAAAACCCAGGTGTTTATTGAAAAACACATAGTATTTGGTGAGTGTAATTGTCAAATGCCTTTACAAACATACACACGTGTATGGATGTGTAAATGTATGCACTCATATATTAACTAAATTTTCTTTGTGTAATTTTTAATTGTAATATGTTTAAGTTATTAAGCCATGTTGCCTATCGAAAATGTTGGCAGCACAGAGAACACTCAGCTCAACTCAACTTGTTCAAAGAGAAATCTTAAATAAATAATTGTTGGCCACATCAATGCTCCTCCACAAAGAAAGAAAAGTTAGAGCTCTCATAGATCAAGGCTCCCAAAAAACAATTGTAACCTTTAGTAAACAAAAGTTTTTTGATCTAACTCCTAACGAAACTTGATGGATAATATTCAGAAAGGGCAGACAACTGATACCGAGCGCCAAAAAAACATGCTGTGGGCGTACTTATGATCATCATAAGAAATCCAAAAATACTGCCTACTGCCTTTATCGGAACCCAATTGTTTTACACCAGATAAAATATATAGATATATAGGTGATTGATAGCGACATAATACCTCTTATATTTCTCCCACACCTCAAGAGCTGCCGAAGTTTAATAAACGAAAACACCTTCTTTGGGTGGACATTAAGGGGCTCAATAATTGCGGAAGGTACTGTATTCACCGCCTAGTTATCCACAAAGGTTCTTACAGATAACTCATTCACACCACTTACTTCTAACACGGAATGGCCATCAGTCAATGTGAAATACTTAAAAGTACAATAAAACACTCAAACACAACTCATCGTACAACTCAAACACTTTCCAATACGAAAACAAAGCTCACTCATAACCGAAACTCGAAAAGCTCTCAAAAATTGTCTCATTTCAGTTACTTGAACTTTTCTCAGCCGAAAATAAAGTCAGCAAATAGGATTGGATTCCTTGCCGATCTTAGTCTCACATAATAGCGTGGTTCGTCAAGGAGGAAGATGGACGTCGCAAATCTGCAATAGTTCTATACGTCGAAGTGCTTTCCGCACAGAAATCTCTCCACATTCAGATTGCTCATACCAAAACGAAGACTTTCCATATTCTAAAAAATATCATTAAGAAGCCTTGATTCGCAACCACGTCCAACAATTAAACCATTCCTGGCTCACAGAATAAGCATCGTTCACTTCGGTGGAAAGATTCAGAATTTTTATCCAACAACTCAGAATATCCGAAATAGATGATCTTGTATACTCAATGAAGGATATAATCCGCCCTATTGATTAACATGATTTCAACGTCATCCGCATCCCAAATGCTGTAGAACTCATAACTCTAGCACTCTCTGCCTGCCCATTATGCAGTAGGACCTTCAACCTCATTCTCCCAAAGGCGCTCCTAGGCGTCATTACGCCGCAGGCTTGCTGGCGTGTGGAAGACATAAATTTAAACTTTATAGTTCATAATAATTAAAACCGTTTTAATTCTGAAACTAAAATTAAAATTTAAATAAAACAAGCATTGGACTAACCTTTACTTACTTGAATTTTGGTCAAAAAGAGATCTATGTCAAAAACTCTTCCCCATTAAAAATAAGCTCACCTACCAAGTTTGTCTAAGTTGTTGCCCAATTACGCTTTACTTGTAACCCAAAGGATATGCAAACCAATTCCCATCAAAATAGCTCAATAATTACTACAGTTATCATACACACAAACAATATGGACGGACAGAGATATCCGTCTCGTCATTGCATAAAGTTTGATTATCTTATACCGCTTCATGCAACCGTTAGCTCAACAAAGGTAGTGTGTCTGCTCTGTGTGAACGGGACTAGTGAGTCCAAAGTTAGGTCTTGTTGGGCAGGATGGCTATCTCATTATCAGTCATTTAATCGCCTTCTTTCATAATGACAAAAAAGCTTTAAAGACCGCTTGGATATCTACAAAAATATTTATTAACTTTCTATGAAAGCCTTCTCCCCCAGTAACTCTTCAACCCTTCATATAGCAAACTAATCAAACGTTAAATAAAGTCAGTCTTTAAAATAGTTAGACTCATTAAAGAAATTTTGAAATCAATGTAATAATTTTTGAAAACTTGGAACTTTATGCCAACTACGTAAAATCTGAAAATTTTTACATTCCGTTTGCTTGCATTGCATCCGTTTAACATAAAGCGATCGACCTTTGGGCGCCTGGAGAAGGCTTTAAACTGTAGTTTCCACCAAAAACATCAAGGCACTTCAAAACGCCAGTTGCTTATGTGTTTAAACTACCAACTTTTTTTTTCATCGCGCCTAGAATTATGCGACGCAATTTTCGTTCGAACTTTTAGATTTGAGTGAGTAAATAAAATTCGTGAGAAAAGTACTCATTAACCTGAGCAATTTACACTTTGAACTGAAAAGTATGCACATGTTAGTATGTTGAGGCGATGAGCATTAACCACCTCTTTGCAAGCCCCTAAAACAAACTCATCCAACCCCCCTTTCCCTCGAAACAGTTCGTTTCCTGAACCCGAGAGATGGCCTCGATGACTGATATGAACTGAACTTCTTTGCTCCTAAGCAGGCTACAACAAAAACAATTAAAAATTAGAGGTTTATTCAAAATTTATTTCAAATATGTAAACGAAAAATAATTTTGATTAATTTTATTTCTTTTTATATTTATTTATTTAATGTATGTAAGCATAAACATTTATGTAAAAATAATAAATGTAAAATATTATTATTTAGACATATCTACATAAACAACAGAGCGTTGCAATACTACAAATAGCTAAAAGATAAACTTAATTCTATAAATTATCATATGGAATAATTCTTAAAAATACGAGATTTAAAAAATAAATTGTAAAATATCATACATGCAGACGGGAGATTCGATATTTACATACAAATGAAAAAGAAAAAAGCAAATGGCAACAGAAAATGGTACTCCCAAATGCGGAAAGTCCAAAATATAATACAAATTTGAAGGACTAAAATATGTTTAAAGCGATTGACAGCTAAATGCGCCGCAACCCATTTAAGTACATTGCAGCGTCTCTACTGCTGCTTTTCGATTAGGTATTACACTATGGATACTACTTAGTAAAGAACATGGAAAACAATACAATTAAAATATCGTAAAATATAGAGTTAACAGCAGTCTCTTGATTTAATGCTCCCCGTCGTAAGCTTCATTATGATGACCGTTTTCCCTGCCACCAATGTAAGTCTCACGCTCAGCCTCCCTTTGTTTTGAGATGTTGGGCGTTACGACCACTTGATTGGCCTCCGGATCCTCGCCATGCTCGACGTATTTATATGGTATTGTGAGCAGAATGAAAATAAACATATCAACAACCATGAGACCGGCGAAGAGGGCAAATTCAGCAGCCTAAAATAAAAAGAGAAAGTAAATATTATACATATAATCATCTAAATAAGTATGTATATAATTGAAGAAGGGTGTGAGAGCAAACAAGAGACTTGGGAGGAAACGAACCTGTGAATCGAAGAACTTCAATTCGGCTATCACGACCACCAACATATTGCCAATGGACACGGTGAGCAGCCAGCAGGCTTGCAGCACAGAAGTCATGCTTGGCGGCGCTTGTGTATAGGAAAATTCTAGACCAGTGACGGAGAACATGATTTCCGCCGCGGTGATAACAATGATCTGCGGCAGTTGCCACATTATGTGTATGCTGTTGGGTGGCGTAATGACATGTGCCTTGGTGCTCTGTAGGAGGAAGTGGAGAAAGATTGAAATAATAGTATTCGTTCAAGAGTTCCATTTTAAAAATTCTTCAATATACACTGTCATACTTACATAGCCATCTTGTAGATTGCCGTTCACCAGCAGCGCATACACACCACCGCTTTTTGTGTTGATCGTTGCTATTTTCTTATTCGCCACCTCTAAATCGCTATCTCCTTGCGCTAAATTGATCACTTGCGTGGCATTGCGGATAATAAGCGGCACTGCAGTCTCTACAGCGTCGGTCAATGTGATCGCTATGTCCTCGTTGGGCACATTCAACAGCACACGCACCATCGGGTTGCCTAGTTTGGGTTTAGCCATAGAGTCCTCGAATTCCTGCATACCATCGGCGTTAATGAAGTAACTGGTCTCCTTGCCCGGTGACAGACGGAACGCGCCGGCGAAGTCTTTGCAACGTATGTTCGCTGAAGTGGCGTTGAAACGATAAACCAGCGGCGTTGGCACAGACATTGCTTTGTATTCCCACAAGTCTAGCGGTGCTACGGCATTCGGGCTTTCGGGTAACTCTGAAGTGAAGGTGTATGCACATGGCATACCATTATAAATACGCAGATTGGCAGCAAATTCACTTGGTGGCATGGAATCGACCTCATTTAACTTGACTTCAAGGAAGGCGGAGAGTAGAAAAGCAACAGCGGCCAACAGACCTCCGAGTGTGAGCTTTTGCAGAGGACGTTTAATTCCAATTTTGGCCAAAATTGGATAGAGTACATAAGTGAATAACGGTATCATGCCAAGTATGAGCAATGGATTAACCACTTGCATTTGATCGGGTTTAATGACATAACCAAATGTTTCACCATTCATGCGCGTCGCCTGGAAGGTCCAACGTGAGCCTTGTTGATCGAAGAGCGCCCAAAATACAGGAAATGGCAGGAAGAGTACTAAAATCTTCAACAGCACCTTGGTATCTGCGACCATCTTCTGACCCGAGCTCGCCTCTGCATAGTCCAACCAATGTTTACGTGGATTCGTTTTACGTTCACGGCGCCAACCGCCGATGGCATCGGAAATACACTTTGAAACGCCAAATATCATGTTGCCTGCAGGCGGCTTGACCACATACAATTTACGACCCGCCACAAATATGACCACCGAGAGCAACATCAATATGGCAGGCACGCCGAAGGCCAGCGAAAAACAATTCTTATCACCAAAACAATGTACATCCTCACGCAGTATGGGCGTGATGGTGGTTGAAATGGTTGAGCCGGCATTGATGGCGAAGTAGAAGAGTGAAAAGAAGGTGGCCAACTGTTTGGCTTGCTCGGGCATGCGGAACTGATCGCCGCCGAAGGCCGACACACATGGCTTAATGCCGCCAGTGCCGAGCGCGATCAGCGTCAGACCGAGTATGGTGATTTCTCTGAAAATATGAGGTGGAAATTGTTATTTTTATTTTTCTTTACTTTTGTATTTTTGTTTATGTACTCACTTCACTGGCAGGTGCAGTGGCGGTATGGCGCCCAGCGAAACTATAACGCCGCCGAGCGCATAAACCATCGAGAGATACAGTATGGTTCTGAATTTGCCCAACCAACTGTCAGCGATGATAGCGCCGACTATCGGAAATAAATACACCAACATGGAGAATATGTGAAAGAGCACCGTCGCTGTGTCCTTATCATAATGGAGCTTCGTTGTGAGATAAAGCACCAGAATTGCTGAAGAAAAGAAAGTGGAAGAAGATGAAATTAATTGATTTCTTCATACTTTTCAGTGAAAGTAGGCGTGGGGTGATTGACTAAATACGCGGTCAACTTACTTCGCAAGCCGTAATAATTGAAGCGCTCACAGAATTCATTGCTGATAATGAATGCGACTGACTTGGGATACTCTGCCGGCTGTAAAAAATGGTAAAGAAAAATATTATTTCAAAATATTTTTCAAAAGTATTTAAAAAGCCATTTAAATATTATATTTGTATGCAAGTATGTATATTGGTAAATACAATAATAGCTCTTTTTTTTGTGTTACGCCTGGTATGTATGTATGCATATACGTGTATGTTGTTGCGAATAATTATCTGTTTAGATTTAAACTTTACTGTAAAAAGCGGTGTTTTCAACAACTCAAACTGGTTTCGGTACTTGTGACCAAATGCTGATTGATTGATTGATGTCTCACATATAAGCATATGTATGTGTGTTGCATGTAAGTTTTCAGAGATGATGAAAATGTTTTTTTTTTTTCTTACAACCAATAAACAGAGAACATATTTGCACGAGTATCTCACAACTGTAATCTTCTACGAGTAGACTATTCATGATTACACTTTCAAAAATGTAATTACACAGATGTAATTGTGTGCTGACTAAAAGAGATAGTTAATTTTAAGATTCACTGATAATTTACTAAAATAAAAAAAAAATACTAAAATCAATTTCAAAGCGAATGGTGAAAGAAAAATTAGATAAAATGCACATTGATTTGCATTGAATGTGGGATTCAACTTGCTCAATTGATTAAAATTTTAATCCCAAAAACGAGAATCTCACCCATGGCATGTCCGTTGTGATGCCACAAAAAGTAAAGTTTCTTGAACGCTTGACTACTCACTCTTCATGTAGTATCTATGTATATACATACATCACAAATCTTTAAAAGTGCCTAGTGAATAACTCCTCCGAATTGGCTAAACTATGCACTCCGAGAATGTTTAGAACGGGTCTTGCAAATGCATGATGGTTCCTAAGAAGTTACACAGATGACTTTAATGTTCCATCTAAGTTACTACGGCAGTGGTGATCCAATCAGACAATGTGCAATCAGAACACCACCACATGAAACAGTTTTGATCTTCGGCTGTAGTTTTTCTGAACTTCAATGGGCCACCTTGAGCCAGCAGATAACTCGCACCGGAGGATCTGTTAGCTCATTGCTTACAGAGCTGATTTAAGATCCACTTGCCCATAAGTAGACCGAATGAATTGGCGGAAGAACTGCCATTTGAACTTTGTCCTGTATTTACTGGACTGGAAATGAAGTTGAGCAACTCAAAAAAGCAAAATCTTCCACTCTAGAGCCGAGCAGAGAGTCGTTCCTGTGATGTACCAAAATATACTATTTGACTAACTCCACATTATTGTCTACTTATTTTTTCTACATCAACGGAAAAGTTTCTCTGCTCTTTGGCGGAGCTCTACCTGTAAACTTGATACCCAACATTCCCGCTCCCTCTGTTGGACTGGTCAGAATATGCCTCGAAGCTTCTAGTCGTTTAAGTACTCATATTTGGTTGATTGATCAAAGGGAGGTTGAGCACCTGACCGAAAGCAGCCGTACCTTAACTTTTGAGAAGGTTCATTGTGCACTCTGGATGTCCCAACGATGTGAACAGCTTACTCAATTTTACATATTTAATTCGAACAAATCTCGTGATTATAATGTCTTCTAAGTGCGATTTTCCTAGTATTTTTCACATTATTTTGGGTCAAAGTTCTAAATTCTGCAGAAAATTGATTGCTTGAAACTATTTTGTATTAAATTTTCCTGTTTCGCAGGGGCAACCATAATATATCTTTCCAGCAAATACATTGATATTTGATTGATTGATGAGCTGCTGCGCAAGTAGCTGGATATTTTGCTTAGTTTATTGAATAATTAGCAAATGTAATTACCGAAGCTGATTACAATAGAATAAAGCCATAAAACTTGCTAGAGAATTATCATATAATATTAGCGGTTCTGAAACCAAATGGGTTTACAGTAAAATAATAAGCAGCACACAGAAATTTACAAGCACTGAAAGCTAATTAAATTTATGATATACAAATTCTACGATATCTTTAACACGATATAAAAGAAATATCATTTATTTTATAAAATTATAGGTTAAATTTTAGACCCTTTTCAACAACTTCTAAATGAAATTGTCCGGCAATAAAATTGATCACAAATCTACACCAGTAACTTGTATTGTCATTGAAGCTCAAAAAGCCGTAAAAGCGAAAGCTTCATCTATTCTCAACTTTGGGAAAATAAATAAATAAACACAAGCGGTTGTAGTAAAAAATCACATACCGAAAATAAACAAAAAAATAAAAATAAAAATAAAAATAAAACATAAAAACGAAACAAGTAAAAAACACTTATCACTGCCAAGTTTACAACTCAACAAGTATTTTGCTATACTCGTGCGTGCAAGTGTAAGAAAAGCGAGTAATATGCACATAAAAACGCATAATTATTTTTTTTTTTCGTAAATATATTACGTAATATATAAAAGTGTTAAGGTGAAATAATACTTTATGCAATACATTGTAAAATTCACTTGTTTGCATGTCACCCTGTTCGAAAGTTGCCAATTAACACACACCGACACAGAGAAATGTAAAAAAATGTTGTATGTGAAATATAGTAAAAAGCCAGTAACTAAAAAACAAGTTTATAAAAATGATTTGTTTTTACAAAGTTACACTTTTCAGTATATCAAAATATTAATGTTTGAAAATATCTCCAAAAATAGACCGAACAAATTAATTGCGATCGTTCTCGAAAGATGGTTCCACCTGCCGTTTCCCATATCGGAGGCCACTATCTATTTTATTGAAAAGGTCTCCCATCTGTCGACAATAATTAGTGTGCATCAGCGCCTGTTTCTGCCAACAACATTGTTTTTAGTCTCTTCGAAAATGTCCGGATTTGCGTTAAACAAACAGCTTTGCGGAATGTTTGGATTTTCTATTTTTATTGGAAGAAAAGTGCAACTAAAGCCCATCAGAAGCTTGTGGAAATTTTTGGCGAGCCTGCGCCAACTGAAGAAAGTGGTATCGACGTTTTAAAAGTGGTGATTTGAGCATCGCAAGCAACCAAAAAGTTTGAAGATGAGGAATTGGAGGTTTTACTGTGTACGTGCCAAACACAAATTGAAATCGCAAAATTGTTCGAAGTGTTAAGCAGCAAACAATTTCCGTTCATTTAAAGTAATTTGAATTCAATCAAAAGCAAGAAATTTGAGAGCCCTACGAGTTAAAGCTGAGTGATGACCAAAGGCGATTTTTCACCTTAGACCTGCTTATTGAAAGATACCAAAGCAATTTCTTTCTTTTTCTGCATCGAATCGTGACAGGAGATGAAAAGTGGATATACCTCGCCTACATAGATGCCAAAGAACAACGTCCATTAAAATTTGATGCTCCGCATATGACAATACTTTTAATGTACATCAGACCTTACTTTTTCAATATGAACCATTTTCTTGAGCACAAAAAAAAACTGACCGAATTAATTTGTATTCCCAAAATAATAAAAACATATTTTGCAAATCTTCCTTTAAATGTGAATTTATCAAGTAACTTTTAATTATTGGAAAAAATGTATATTATTATTTTTTATTTTTTTTTTTATTTTCATATTAAAAAGTGAAAACATTTGATATAAAATTGTTTCATTCTTAGCAAAAAAAAAAATTATATATGCAAAACCAGTTTCTTGGCCAAGGTAAATTGATTCATGACAAACATGATGAACATGACAAACATCATTATGTATATATTCATTTAAAAAATATATACATATACACATATTTGTGCAAATATTGAATTTGAATAAAATATCTGTTGCGCTACGTGGGGGCTTATACGGAAGTTAGAAATAGAAAATATTTACAGTGTTTAGTATTTGACAAATATCGCAAATGTACAACACAATTTTTTTATCTTTTATATATTTGTATATAGTGCTTTATACATATGTATATATTTTATATATCATATTAACTTTTTTAAATGTTAACTTTAATTAATATTTTTCAGGAATTTTTATTTCTAAAATTTCAAAACTTTTCAATATTTTAATTTAATTGATTCATTGAGAATCAATTTATTATTCGTTCCGATCGTTGACATTTGTTGTTAAAGTTTCACTTTTAAAGTTCAAGAATTTCACATAAAATATTATTAACATAACCTGTTGAGCGTATATTTCTTATACATATACATATCGTACGTATGTATATGCCAGTTGCACTTCAAAATTAAGTTCATTGCGCGTAGTTTACAACTCACCCGCTTATCCATTTTGTTATTATTATTGTTATTGTTATTGTTATTAGTGTTTTGCACATATTCGGCGATTTCTTCGCACTCTGCAGCGCTAACTCGCTCAATCATATCAGCCATTTTGTTGGTAATCGCACACTTGTTACTTAATTATTGTGAAGATAATTATAGATTTATCTTACCAAAAAGCACTAAACAAACATATCTACTTAAGAATCAAGTAATCAAGCGACGAATCACGCACAAATAGAAAAACAACAATAGAACAACTGGGTCAGTGTGTCGGAAGTACGCCAAAAATGTGATGCGAAGTGCAAAAAACAAAAACAAAAAAGCACTTCAAATATAAATTTTGAGTACTCAGTGTTATGTAGTATCAAACGAATTGATATTAATAACTGTTTTCCGCGCTTTACTTAACAACTCCACGGTCGAACGCAGACTGTTTGGCTACTGCGCATGATTGACGACGTCAATGTATGGCCACAAACAACATTATGTAAAAGAGAGACGGTATTAATAATGTTTTTTTTGTGTTTTGTTACTTTTGCTTTAAATACTCTGTTTCTCTTATTTGCTTAGTATATTTATTTTTACCTTTATTTTAGCAAGTTCTGTTTTTTTTTTTAACAAATACGAAGTCAGTCGAATGTTAATAGAGTAGAAGAAGTGAGAAGGCATTCTTTTATATTTATTGTAAATTCAAAACCACTAGATGGAGCTTTGAAACCGAAAAATACTCAGTAAAGCTTTGAATGCTTTCAAACCACATTCAAATATATACTTATATGAAAGTACAAATAGGGTGATTTATGAAGTTTCGATTGCCTGCTTCCAGTCGAACAAACTCAGTCTTCCATTTCCAAATTACAACAGGATTTTATGTTTGTAAATTGTGACATACAGCGGGTTTAACTTTGTTTAACTTTTAATACTTTAAAACATCTTCAAGAAATGGTACACCAAAAATTTGCGTCATGCGACAAAAACAACAACATTTAAGAAAACCCATTAGATGTAGCTTTCGTATGAGATATAATTACATTGTTATGCACTTGTCGTCACAGCCGTCCACGTGTTTGTATATAGAGTGCATTGGCCGTCCGGCCCTCACACTCATACAAATACGAAATTGGCTTGTTTTATTGCCTACTAACTAAAAAAAAAAAATAATAATATTATCAATCGAATTGAATGTGACAAAATGTTTACTTCCTCTTTACAATACAACTCATGGCACGTAAACATATTGCAATTGTTGTTAATAATGTTGTTGTTTTTTTCCAATGATAACTATTAATTTGAATACAGCACAGTAGTAAGGCCGGCCTTATAGTATATGCAATGCATTTATAAATATATATGTATATACAAACATACATGAAAAATACTAGTATATAACAAATTGAAAACGCCAATAAATGCGAATTAGGTCAATTGATAGAAATCGAAATGGTTATCGATATCACGAAAATCGCAACGATTCACGACAGGCAAAGGGAATCATAATTAAATTATTTAATTGCTAGACAATATTCAGGGTTAAATGGAAACGGAAGTTATTAAAATATGTACATATGTATGTATGTATATGTGGGACTCAACAACAAGGCATGAAAGGAAATGATAATGTAAGATTTGAGAAAAACAGTCAGAAACACAATAACATCAAGTAAGAGGTAAAAAAAGGTAAAGCAAAAAACAACAAAACTAAATATGATAAATTAAAAAAATAAAAAATTTAATTAAAAAATTTAAATAAATGGAATAAAATAAAAGCAAATAAAATAATGTAAAATAAAATTAAGAAGGAATATAAATAATTAAAGAATATAAATAAAAATAAATTATTATAATAAAAAATAAAAATTATAGTGAATTTGTATGCTACATTTGTGGTCGCCAGTATATGGTTTTTTTCTAAGATTTTACATTTTTATTATATTTTATTTGTAACCCAGAGCTGCCCATTTTAGCGTCGAGGCTCTAAATAATTATATGTATAAATGAATATGTGTGTAAGAGTGCCCGTTCTTGCAATACAAACTCTAATTTAATTATTACTCTGTGCACGTTTCACATTTTGTGTTCGTAATTATTTTTTCCCGAGCGTACGTATGTGTGTATGTACATAAATAAGTACATCGACATATATAAGTGCAATAAGTTTTAATTGAATTCCTGTTGGCATGCATTTCAGGTGACGATAAACATTTTATGAAGGAGTGTTAAGTTTTCAAAAATAATTCAGGCGGTTTTTGTTTGAATAAAGCAACAAACAAATAAATCGATAATCACTTTTGCATATATTGTCTGAGAAAAATATATACATATATAATCGATGTAAATGAATGCAAATTTTTATGAATTATACATTACGTGTGAAAAGTGAATGAAATTACCTTTTTGTGCCACGTAAATTGATCAAGTCAAGAGAATAAAAGTTACTCTTCCAAATTTTACAAAATTAATTACCCATCAGATTACATCTGAAGAATAACAGTAAATATTTATAATTATATTGGGCCTCGAACCTGCGAATAGCTTCTACATTCATTTTAATAACATTGCCATGTTCATGCTGGAATAATATTTGCTTATATAAGTAAATAGACGTAAAATTTTCAAAGTCATTAGAACAAATAAGAGTGATGGGCAATAAAACAAGGCTCCTCTAATTCATGAAGAAGGTGAGAAAAAACTTACTAAAAAGCTAAACAAATAGGGTTATTATTAAAAAAAATTACGAAAATTATTGTGCATTGAAGAGAATTACAAATTTTCACAGCTTATCCGCTACAAAAAACTTTGGCTTACAAAAGGAGCAGCTCAGAAAAATGCATTTATGCGAAAATTGCATAGGAGAAGTATTTATGAATTATAAAAATTCTTACGAAATCATGGAAAAATACTTAATTTCACATTCTTATTACAAAAAAAATTAAAATAAATAAAAATTTATGTTTCATACTTTATTCATTAATCACATACTTTTATTATCATTCTGTTTGATGTACGATTTTAAGATTTCAATACAAAATTTTATTCCTTTCTTTTTGTTGACATATTTTTATAATCTCTCTTATCCGCTATCTATTATCTTGATTTTCTTTCTATCACTGTATGCATACACTCAAACTTGATAAGACAATTCTATTATTTAATTCGCATTTTATACGTGATATTTAGTTAACCATTTATGAGTATAAACACTTAATTTGCTTATAAATATACATACATATATCTTGCTGTTAGATATTCTGTTTGTTTATACTAATAAGGCACACAAGTTTGCAGACATATTGGCAGACGATATACATATATATTGTTATTGTAGCTTAAAAATAAAAGTTTATGATAAGGATGTGTATAGAACTGACTTAAGTCCACTTATTAAAAATTGGCTTGGTTAAAATATTCAATAGATATCGGTTTAAGAGGGGTTTAATATAACTTAATATAATTATTAATATTAACATACATACTCGTACATATCTCACTCTAATCGTATTATTATTGGATAAATAATATTTTTTTTTTCATTTCAAATTAAATTTATTTAAGATAAGAGAAGTTTAAATGACATTTTCAGCTAAAAAAAATAAGTATTTTTAAACAAATAGATTTTGGATGATAAATGAACAAATCGTCTTATAGTAACTAGTACTAATTCATTTAATAACAGTTCATACATTTTGGTTGTTTAGCATAGATATTTGTCACAGATATTTCATACGCCAATGCTTGCTCGAAGATTTTCAATTTTGTTTCTCGCTTTGCATATATAAATTTAAAATCATATAAAGAAGTTCTAAGAAAAAGGCAAACCTTTTGCTCAAAATGCTCGGAAAAACTCCAATTGCTCGAGCTCTTTCTCGAAAAATTTCGAGCAATCAGCAATGAAGAAGTGTACGAGTATTCGTTAGTTAAATACTAAGCTTAGTCCTGCTGGGGAGCTGCCGACTATTGAGAGCTACCATACAGTGGGCGGATTTAATCGCCATATGAGTGAAATCGACTTATTGATTGTACCATGATGTGCTATATTTATATATTACATTATGTATTATTGAACAGTCGAAGATGCCAAGTTCGAATGTCTTATCACTTGTCAGATATGGCAATGTATAATGCTTGGCTATTATACGAAAGCGTTCGCAGGAGTGCATAGTTGTTTGGCGCTTTGAATATTATATACCTGCGAAGCTTACCGTAAAACACCTAGTACGAGGGAGTGTTTTTATTTATGTACGCATCATCAGGGATGAGAAGAGGAAATACAAAAACCGAATTATAATTCCTTTTCAATATTTTCACTCGGCTTATATGGCTTTTGTGGTTGCGAAGGCGTGCGCATTCTCAGCACCCATCTGGTGCTATTCTTAGTCATGCCAATATGATGGTGTAGGATTTTAAAAATGATTATTTTAGAAACTCCAATCATATCTGCAAGTTTTTCTTCTTTAGTCGAGCATCGTCGAGGACTTGAATAATTTAATTTAATAATTTTACAAAACAGGAGTTGCAACTGATTTTCCTTGCTTGGTAAGGAATTTAATAAAATCATAGTATTTCATTCTTTACCTTCTTTCACTTTTCATTGCCCATTGTGTTGTGCGCTTGACCATAGCTCAAACACCAAAACACTGATACCTGGTATTTACATTTTTTACGGGTCAACGAATAATGCATCTAATCATTTCTCTACAACCCTTGATTGAATATAAAAATGTATGTCTGACTTATTTTGGAATGTTACCCAAAAAATAAAAGTTTATAAAGAGTTAAAAATCAAACAGTTTCTCAAAACTTAATTTAAAAAGCTAATTAAATATTGAAATTAAAAATTCTTGAGTATTTATGTGGAGGATAATGCACACTCGGGTGTACTGAAGTATACCAATCAAACATACATATATAGATACAAAATTTTTTAATTCTTAATAATTAATTATACTTTTTCACTTGTATCTTGGTTAGCTTGTAGAATTACTAATAAAAAAGGTAAGTAAAAACCAATAACAATCACAATAAACTGTATAATTCATTTTTTTTCTTTTCACAAAATTTAAATATTTGTAGTTAGACTTTTTTTCATTTGAAGCAATGACATAGTTATGAGACAACTTTAATATGTTGTTATTTTAAAGTATTTCAAGTTGCCGATAACTAAAGTGTACCCGAACGCCATTCAAGCATTTTCGTAAGAGACTCAAAAGTTTTCTACGTGAGTTTATTTAGTGCCGACCTTTGATTGGGCGCTGAGCAATGACAATTAAACAAAGTGATATTTAGTACAAGAAATGTAAAAGACACGTTTCATAAATATTTCACATTATTTTTTTCAGACCTACGACAGATGTACAAACATATTTCCATAATTCATTTACTTACCGCTTTTTCCGATATCTTTAAGACGCTGCTAACCATGGTAATGTTAGCCGTTAGTTTTCTTATGTATAACAGCAAATTGTAATCAAAATGATAAAAAATTTTAAGCTAACAGTAATATTTCTCTGTTTGTTCTTTTTAAATTAAAAATTTTCAAGTAATAAAATCACGTGAAAAACAACACACTTTACACAGACTCGAAAATGATTAAAAAACGAGTTCTTACGTTTAACGCGCTACAATAAAAAAATTGTTTAAAAACACTGACGATTTGAGGTTAAACAAGTAAAAATTGTTTTTGTTTTAATTTACAAAACAAAATTGCATTGACGACAGATAAAAAAGCTGTTTGAGGTCACAGCACTTTCTGTACTTAAGAAAGAATTAATTTTTGTATGCGTTTATTAAATTAAAACAAGCGACACTAAATTAAACACGCATCTCTTTGATTTTCAAGTACAATGACAAAAATTGCATATAAATATATATAAGTTGATGTTTAAAATATTTTAAGAGCGTTTTCTTTGACGGACTGCAGCCGTCAGCACCGCCCAACACTTGTTACACGAATAACGCTGCAGACTGCAATCGCAGCTTTAAAACGGCAGCACCACAACGGCATCAATAGAGCAACTAACGCAGCGTACGCGGCAGAGCACCCGAGTCGCCGGCAGCGCGGCAATAGCACCCAGACAGCGTGTAATAAATGCCAATAACTGTAGCAGCGACGCTTCGGCGTGCTCTGCCGGTAGTGCAATCCACCAAGCAATAGCTCAACACCAGCAGCGGCGGCGGCGACAGCAGCCTCCAACGGCCGACCAGCCTCCGCCTGCTATGATCACTTTCAACTTCGCTCTGTTGGCATTTTTGTTTTTGTTAATTTTCTCCACTTTTAACTTATTCATTTACTCTGGTAGATATTGGATCTCAACGCTCTCTGTTTACCAAAAAAACATGATAAATTTAGTAAACATTTTCTTTGGAGATGGAACTATCTTTGTAGAGTATTTAGTTAGAGACTAAAATGAGCAGTTTTGTTTGTTTCTGTTGCGTGCTTTTGTTGTGAGTGCAGCGAGCGCTGCTGATTAGCAATCGCTAGCAGCCTAAAGATCGCATTCACATGTTTGACGGTTGAGTTTCACGGAATTTTATTAGTTCGGCTGTGAAGTTTGATTGTAAATCTAATTATGTGAATGTGATTTTGATGTGTGCTCATATAAGTGGTTTATGAGTGGTTTCTTTCATTGATGTCTTTTAATGTGAATAATTGGGCATTTCTGGAAACTGGATTTCATATAATGTTGTACGTGTTTTTGTAAGAAAGTGAGTTGCAAATTATAGGGCACGTGTTGGGGGCAATTGATGAGGATTGGGGACAGGTTTGAATTCCATCCGATCGAATTTGGGTGAAAATAAACTTAATTACCCTCCTGCCAAGATCGGACAATATAATGTTGAATATATTATGATAAACAATGCGATGATACCTGTGTGTGAGAAAAATAAGCAAATAAAAATAGCAACATAAAGGGACTACTTGATATGTCATTCCTTTGAGATGTGAAAATAATAGATGTTGCTTTAATGTCAACTTCTTTCCTCCTTTCGATGTTTGACTCAAATTGGAAATGCCAAGTAAAGCCAGGTCCTGTGGACATTTTTCTTTTCTTCTGATTCCATATGACCTAGCTAGCGGAGCTACTGTTTCTTCATTCGCTGAACTACGAATACGTCTATGTTGCCGGATATCTCGTACAGTTCATCGTTCCATCAACTGTGCTAAAAAGGCCACACATCTTACGCATAACTTTTCTCTCGAAAACTCCTAACGACGACTTTCCGATGTTGTCATCGTCCATGCTTCCGCAAAATTTTGCTGGACGGGAATGAGGAGTGACTTGTAGAAATTGGTTTTTGTTCATCTTGGTGAACGTTGGTTCCAAGATAGACTGCGCTATTTACGACTTCAAAGTGACGTGAGCGCCGAATCGGGAATGATATGACTGTTTGTTTGATAGCAATAGCTATTTCGACTTGCCCTCGTTCACAAGGCCCATAGGCTTCCCTCTCTTATGCAATCTGGTGAAAGTAGAACTCTGGTTGCCGTTGCTGAGATCAGTGTTGGCTTATCATCGTCGTACGCTCTATTCATCTCTGCAGCTCTTATTATTTCAGCAAAAAGTTGAAGAAGTCACAGAGTTAGGATTATCTTGTCTGCAATTACTTTAGAAACGAAAGGGTCGGATAGATCCTCCCCGATCCCGACACATCTTTTAATGTTGCTTGTCAGTTTACACAACCCTGTGAGACTGTAAAGAGGTAATGTGTGCCGATTCTCTTGACATATCGACCGTTTTATACAAGATTTCCGATTTGGAGACTTGATTGATTCTTGCACTGGGTATTTTGAGCACCGGTGAAGTCAATCAGGCCGAACACATTTGGGAATGTTTCATTGTGGAGGCTAAGTTTTTCGCCAGTCCTTATATTTCGAACCTGTTGTTATAGTAGCCCAGCAGAACTTTGAAATCGTGGCGGGTTTGCGGTCGTAAGTACACTCCATGCGCTCTTAAAACCACTCTTCGTCATATCTTCTTTCTTTACTGTCGGGACGTGGGCGCAAATCAGTGACATGCTGAAAAATTTTGCTTTGAGGCGGATTATGGCGACACGTTCACCCTTCGGAGTGAATGCTAGTACTCGGCGACGGAGTCTCTCTTATCATAAATCAAACACCAAATGTTTGCTCCTTTACATGACCGCTGTAGCAAATTTCACAAGGACTTACTCGTTTCCGTCCTTCTCCCGTCCATCGCATTTGTTGGACGGCGGTGATGTTAATTTTATTTTCTTCTTTCTACATCAACCACTGGGCAGCGGCACCGGATTGGACATTCCAGGTGCATGCCCTTAAATAGTAGTTTTTAATGCGTTTGCAGGGATCGTCATGAAAAGTGGGGTTTCTTATACGAGGAGTTGTTACTTTTTTCATTAGAACTGGTTTCTACTGGGTGGATCCCAAAGCTACCGCATAACCTCACTATGCGAACCGAATATGTTGGTGTAGCTTCACTGAAGCTTCCTCTCTTTAAGCCGTGATACAAGGCTCCACACCGGTTGGTTATCGCATCGTGCACAAGGATTGCTCAAGTTTCCAGAAAGCGCCTCGTGGACACAAGAGTAGAAATTGAGTATAGCATGCTCAGAAGCTTTACTACATCACGTGTGCTAAAGAGCTTTCTCATAGTCATATGCTCATGCATTGCGTATTCGATCAGTAAACTGTGGGAACGTCTCTCTTCGATAATATAGAACAATATTCTGGATTTTCATTTACTCTTATTTCTTTGTCGCCCACATGGACATTGACTACGTTATTTTGTTATTTCCGATGGTGTGAAGTTTCTATAAAATTTTTGAAGCCATTACCTTTTTAATTCAATTTTACCTAAGACTTGGTAGTGGATCTTAGTGTCTGCTTGTGGTGAACTTATGCGGGTGTAGTCATTTCGCTGTGCCACTGTGTACTTATGAAACAAAAAGCTTTTTTTTTATATTATAAATAAAGTAAAGAACACTTTATCTCGATCCAGAGCTAGATAATACCAGGACAGCCGTTTCGAATCAAGGTTAAATGAAATAATTACTTAGTTGATACATCTTTGGTTTATATTCTGTTGTTATCTCTACGAATTAATTAAACTAATAAATTAATAATTAAATAGCAGCATTGCCTGTAGTGCAACTACAACTGCATGCAAGTCAAACTCCGTAATCAGCTTTTGCTACTATTTCCTAAGTCAGTTGCATTTATCGTATTAGTAGTACTTGTCTATTGGTATGTATATATGTGCATATATATTTTAGTAATTGCCTTAAGATTATGGTTATAGCTGGTCATGTTTAATCATTTGCTTTGTCTTGCTTTGCATGAAAAATAATCTGTTCGCCTGCAGCTGGACAATTTGCCGAAACGACAGCTGCACGCTTGACAAGCTGTGGTTTCACAGATCACCGTATACATAAATATATTATACATATAACATACATATGTACTTATAGGTACAGGGTTATCTCTTTTGTGGTTTCCAAATAGCAGGGCTGTTCCGAGGACTCTAACTCATTAAAGAGAGATCATTATACGAAATGAACTTATCGTCTTTCTTCCAGAGGTATGATTCTTTTTTGAATATGACAACGGCGAAACTCTCACTGCCAATTCGAAACTTTGTGGTCGTGAGATAATCGATAACTTTGTACTGAAATTGAAGACGCGATTTGGTCAATAAGTGGTTTCAACAAGATGGTGCCACGTGCCTCACAATACGAGCGAATACGGCTTTACTGTGTGAGAAATTTTTTTGGCGGCGTAAAATCTCTTCTTGGCGAGGTCAATTGGCTATTAAAATCGTTGATTGATTTTACGTCGTTGGACTCGTTTGGATACGCGAAAGACCGTGCTTATGCGAATAAACTTTAAACCCTTGAGCCCTTCAAAACCAACATTCGTCAAATTATGACTGAGACTCCGCCTAATATGTGCCAAAACGTGTTCGAAAATTAGCTAGAATGGATCGAAGTTTGCGAAAACTCGTCAGTTGGTCTTGGAATGATATAGTGCTTGACATGCCAAGGTTAAACCTTGAAAATAAAAAAGGGATTTCATGAAAAAAATTATTTGTTTTCGAATCAGTAAAACGGATAGCCCTGTACGTATACATATGTATATGTACATAAGTGTATAACCGCCGTGTGCCGGTTACTTGGTTTGCCGGTTGACGATCGTTATTGACTTTGAACTTTTTCAATGAAAGTGCACTATGACTATGTGCCCATGTGTATTTGTAGCTGTTTTAGCATATATATATATACATACATACATACATCGTATGTATATGTGCACGTGTATGGGCATTTTTGTTTGACGACATCAGCACTCAAATCAAGTCACTTTGGGATGCGACTAATTTCCTCGTTATGATTATTCACGATTGCTTTGATGCGTTTGAATTGGTGGCTTCTGACGGTGTGTTGGTAAGAAAACCACAACATACGCATCTACATACCCATAGTATTGTTTGAGTCTGCAGTTGTATGCATCTGTGTGAAGATTGCAGTGCATTGAGACGAGACAAGCTGAGCTCATCAGCGTCGTCGCAAACAAATCTAAAGTCACGAAAAGTGTGCTACTTGTCGTGGGAGGTGGGTGTCGAATAGCATACAAATATACTGTAATTTATACGCACATACATATGTACGACTAGGTACAGTCATCGCATTAACAATTTGCATTCACATACTTACTTATTTCCAATTGACGTTCTCACATTTTAATCTAATCACACGATTTTCTCACAGCATTCAATTCGCTTTTATTCGCGCTTATCGCCGATTAGGAGCGGTAAGTGTTTGAACTTTGTTCACATCAATTAATTATATGCATGCACATACACACACATTTATATGTCTAATTAAATTAAACACATTGTTGATAAGTTTTCAATAAAAAAAAAAATTAACAAATAAATTAAAACTTTATCAAACTCAAATTAAAAATGTGGC